AATACACTTTTACACTAAAAATTCACTTTTACAACAAAAATTAAATTTTTCATTTAAAATTCAAATTTTGACTAAAAATTCACTTTTTTACTAAGAAAACTAAAAAAATTTTAACAATAAATTCTAATTTTCATTAAAAATTAAATTTTTCACTAAAAATTAAATTAATTTTTTTTCACTAAAATTCACTTTTTCACTAAAAATTCACTTTTTCACTTAAAATACGATTTTTCACAAAAAAATACGAATTTTCACAAAAAAATACGAATTTCACCAAAAATCATATTTTCACTAAAATTCAATCTCTTACTAAAACTTAGATTTTTTACTAAAAATTCGTTTTACAGATAAAAGTTTGATCTTTCTTTAAAAAATAAATTTTTTCACTAAAAATTCAAATTCAAAAATCAAATTTTCTTGATTAAAATTTTCATCAAAAATTAGATTTTTTACTAAAATTCGACTAAAATTTCGAAAAATTTGGATTTTTACCAAAAATTTTATATGAATTTTACTTAAAATTAATAAATATTATTCAGTCACTTAACAGATTTTCGATTCAATTTTTAGTGAAATCTTGAATATTATTGAGTTTGATCCCTTTTAATGAAGAAAGGACACATTATGAAAAAAAAGAGAGTTACTCTTTTTTTTACAAATCTATTGGCCATAATTATTTAGATCCCAGCCAAAACGTTTTCACTATTTAGAGAAATCTTATAAAAAATGCGAAAAAAAAGTATTAAACTATTTGTAATTGGAATTGTTTTCTAAAGCATGACAAACACCTGCCAAAAAGCCTGAACTCTCGAATATAAAAATTGACTTGAAACAATTAGTTTTCACCCCAAATTGAAAAATTCAAAATATTAGACAATTAGGAATTCCATGTAACAAACAGAATAACAAATTTAAGAAATCTCTGCTTAAACTCAATTCTTTTAACAATCCCAAAGGTTTTAAAAATTCACTAAAAGTATTTTAGAATATAAATAATGTTAGTAACGTAAATAACATAAAAATTAAATAAATACTTTCGATTTTCAATAAACACAAAACTATAACGAAAATTCGATCGAAAAAAGAGTTCCAAACTTAATTTCGAAAACAAAACATGTGCGTTAAGGGACATAACGTACCCGTGCGCTTGATTTCAAGCGATAAGAAATGAATGACAAATGTTTACAATTAGTTTGCGGTAAAAAAAAATCATATAAATTTTAACGAAAAAAAATGAAAACAAAAATAAAAAAAAGAATTTTTAAAAGAGTAATACCTTAACCAACAAAATAGTTGGCATCATCAACATGACTAACAGCAGCAACATATTACCAACTGGACAACAATAACACCAGCTACACCAACACTAGCAACAATAAAAAAGTCATTAACATGACATTGCCATCATTAACATCATCTTTTTTTCTTTTCTTTAACCAGTGTCACCCATGGATGAAAAACCGCAAATGTTTTTTTTTTTATATTATTTTTTCCAATTCAAGTACAATAAATAAATAAAAAAAAATATTTTAAAGAAAGTGAAACCATTCGGAAAACAAATGAGAAATTATGTAAATGAGAACTTTCATTTTTTGTTGTTGTTGCTGGTTGATTGAAAAAATACAAGAAAAAAAAAACAAAATTCCATAAAACAAAAACGAAACACAACATGACAGTTTTGGAATTTCAAATAAGGCAGTTTTTAATGCGATTGTATTAAAATTTTTTTCTTCTTTATCATCATTATAATTTTTTTTTTTTTTTTGATAAGCAAGTCCATAAAAAAAAATTATTTAAATTTTTTTTTCAACTTACACAATCTGGTTTTGTTTAATAATCAATAAATAACAAATATTACTAAATTTTATGTTTTTGCAAAGAAGAAGCATAGGTTTAATTATGACATTTCATTTTAAAGATTCATTTAAATCTAAATTTTGAATAAAAAGTTGTTCCAGTTGAAGCTAATAAATCATTTATAGCTTTTTTACAAGTTCATAAAAACTAGAATAACTTTATGAAGTGCTAATGACTTAATTAACAGCAAATTCTTAGTTTTGTTTTAATTTTTGAATGTTTGAATTGAATTTTAATTAATGATCTTAAAGAACAATATAGGTTTTGGAATAACAGTTGTTTTCAAATTTGAAAAGATTTAACTATAACCCAGCAAAAACTTGGTGAAGACTTATACAATATACAATTTACAGAATCCGTATACAAATAAGCGGTGGTGTTGGGAGTATGACAACGACTAACGATCACGACACCAGGTTCGTTTTCTGTGTCGGCATAAAACAAAACAACTTCTTGACTACTTATTTGTAATGACTTATTTAATTACTTATTTGTAAGTGTGAGTGCTCTTGCCTCCATTGTCATCGCCGTGTTAAAATGCTAATGAATAAGTAGTGAAGTTGCTTTAATGGCTAAGTTTCCTTAATTATTTCAGAATCGTAGTCAGTTGACTAGTCTATAAACATGTCTACAGTGGAGAATAGCATAAAAACTAGTCTATAGGGTAGTCCATAGAATAGTCAATAGTCAGGAACATACACCTATAGAGAAGTCATAAACATATATTAGACTAATTCATAGATGAAGCAACAAACTAACTAGACTAATTCATAGATTAGTTAACAAACTAGTCCATAGTATAGACAAATTATAGACAAATCCATAGACTTGTAGACTAGTCTATAAACTAGCCCATGGAATAGTCAATCGACATAGGGCAGTCTATAGGATAGTCCAGAGACTAGTTTATAGTGTAGTCCATAGACAAGTCTATAGGGTAGTTCATAGAGTAGTCAACAAACTAGTCCATAGAACACTTCATACACTAGTGCACAGAGTAGTCATTGAACTGGTCAATAGACTTGTCAATAACATAGTCCTAGACCAGTGAATAGATTAGTCAATAGACAAGTACTTGTACTAGCCAAATGACTAGGCAATATATTAGTCTATTGGAGAATCAATATACTAGTCCATACACTCCATAGATTGGTCAGTAAACTTGTCAATAAATAAAAAAAGTAATACATAGACTAGTCAACAAACTAGTCCATAGTAGTTATAATAGTTCATACACTAGTGCAGAGTAGTTAATAAACTAGTCAGTAGACTTGTCAATAGCCTAGTCCTAGACTAGTGCATAGATTAGTCAATAGACAAGTCCTTGGATTAGCCAAAAGACTAGGAAAAATACTAGTCCATTGTTGAATCAATATACTTATCCATAGACTCCATAGATTGATCCGTAAACTCATCAATAAATAACAAAAGGTTGAAAAGAAATTTAGTACTTAATCCATAAAAAGTACTCTTTTTGAAAAAAGTCTACAAAGAGAGGCGAAAGTTATTAATTTCTAAAAGAACCTCTGGCATATCTGTCTAACACCCAATGTACAGTTATTTGAGCCAGGAACCTGGAAGATACTACTTTTAATAAACCTCAACGCAGTAGCTTATGAAACAGAGTGGGAGGTCCCGTTCTGGATATTCCATTATTTTCATAGTAGTCTCTATGCGCACATACCGAAACTAATCTCAGACAGACTACTCAGCCTTATCATATCATTATTACATTGTCTGATCAATAGGGTTGTGGTAGTGAAAGATATGCCACCTGGCTATGAACAAAAAGTCCAATATTGCCAGTAATATTGAGGTCATATAGTACCCCACATGCAGTCATAGTTATTCGGAAGAACTAACACCAGCACTAATAGTTCTTTTTATAATCATCCTGTAATTATATATTCGTTCAGCAAGTCGCCCCTATGCCATTAATTCGGAAAGAAACTCTGACTCTGAACACTTTACCAAAGTCCATATGTGGGGTAATATCGTCGGATGATTGGCTTAAAATCCTTACGTATTCATATCATCTTGATTTCCAACATCCGGATGCGTTAAGCCTCCATTATATGAAATTCGATAGTGTTCGTAGCTGCTGAAGGACAAGTTCTCAGTTATTTTCTATATATGTATCTCTAGATGGTATCCAATAACTTTGTTCAGTCAGTTGTAAAGTCCTCTTTACCATCGTTGACCATGAATTTAATGTTTTCCTTCTTTCCCTTTTCCGTGATAGTTTAGAGTCTAGGATAATTCTTAAATATTTAGCATAATTTGATGAGGCATTTTCAACCTGGCAGGTTGAAGTAAACAACTATTTCAAGGAGTTTATTAAACAAATAAATTACGAATTCAAGTTTCGCAAGCAGTCTCATTGATGTTTTTAACAAGCTGTATATAAGTACAAAATGTTCAAGATCATTTTTCAAAATTTGTAATGAAAACATGACCCATTTTTTTACACTTAAACTAAAATCATAAACATACTACCATCAGTCAGACTGGTCTAATCTGAATCTATTAATATGTCGGTCCATGCGTCTGTGTGTCTGCTAAATGAAGTGAAATACAGCACTTTCGTGTTGATCTTTAAATATTCCAAACACATTACATGAAATTGTTACAGCAAAAAAAAAACCAGATCAGTTGAGAGTTTTAAAATGTTGCATGAATTTTTGATTTAGTACTAAATATTTTAAACATTTTCGATTTTAACAACAAATTCAACTTATATAGATGTTCTAATTTTGTTATTTATTTTGGTTAAATTACTACAACCAATAATGAAAAAAACTGGCACACTTGTTTATTAAACGTGTTAATAAAGGGGGCCAAATAAAGTGTGTTTAACATAAATGGGAAATAAACTCTCAAAAGCACATTGAAAGTAAAATGTCACTAAAACAAACATTACTCTTTTTTTTAACCAGTTCATCGAAAAACTGGTTAGTAATTTAAAGCAATAACTAAAACCATGGGAAACAACTAACAAGACCCACATATTTATTATGATTTCCTACAGGTGTGAGAAAACTTTTCGTGGCCATGACATTTTCAGTTAAACTTAACAAAATTTTCATCCCTTTTTTTAAAAAACATCGTTAATTTGCTTTTGTTTTTTCTTTGATTCTTTACAGAAAGTCGCAAATTATTTGGTGGTTATCGCATAACACCCAAACATTGTCGAGCCACCAAAACTCTGCCTAGTTCAGATCCTAGAGCCAATGGTCCCACGATATGTATGTTTAATCATGAGTGTGCTCAGCGTAATGGTGAGGTAGTAGGTGCCTGTATGGATGGTTTCCTTTTCGGAGCCTGTTGCCAAGTGCCCAATAATCAGCAGCCGGAAAATACTCTCATAAATGATGCCCAAAATTCCTATTATCATCAATATCAAAATCAGAAATTACAACAACAGGAAACCGAAACTAATAAAATTGTTTCGCAGGCCTATGAAACATTTGCGGAGAACTCGGCCCAACAACAATCGTTGGAGAATAGTCAGTCTCAAGATTCTGGTTATGGTGGTATGTTAAGTAATCTCTATAATGTGGATCGTGTTGATCCACAACCTCAAGATACTTCCGAACAGATTAATACCAGCAGCAGTACCTATGGTTCTACGGAAAGTGTTGTTTCTAGTTCGAGTGTGGAATATGATGCTATTACTCAAGCCAGTACTGAATCACAAACAAATTCACCACGTGAACCTCCTAAAACTAATACAAATAAACCCAAGGATTCCGTTAAGGTAACACCAACCGCCCAATCACCTCAAAATGATGATTTTGTTTTACAACTTTTGAATACTCCGCCACCAAATGAGGATGAAAATGTTATGAGTTTTACTACTGAAATACCCACCAGGATTAATAGTGTTCTAAATGAACAAAGCAGTTCTGAATCCAATTCCTTTGAGGAAGAGCCAGCGGCTGCTACAAATAAACCTTTAGTTAAAAAACCCGAAAATCAACAACATCAAACACAATCAGCCCAACAGACCTCTGTTAAACAACAGCAGCAACATCATAGCGCATCGGTTCAAAATCATCTTGCAGATTCCGATGTACAACAGGCAGAATCTGTTATACATTCCCACCATACAGAAGCTATACAGCATGATCACGACCAACTGTTTGGTGGTGTTACCTTTACACACAGTGACATCACTCACCCCGGAGCAGATGCTGATCTTATAGAAGATGATTTACAATTTTCTACCGGTTATGGTCCTCAACCAGTATTTGTGCCAGCTCCTCCTAAACCCATTCAAGCATATGATCAAGAAGCTGATAAACATACTTCCAATTTATTCGATGCCACTACATCCTCCTCATCCATAACCACACATGTAGATTCCATAGAAACTATTATACAGCAATTGAATAATAACAACAACAACAATCCCGGACCCACCTACAATGTCATCAATCATGATGAACAGCAGCAACATCATCATCAGTCTTCTTCATACGATAATGGTCTAGTGACTGCTACCAAGAGGCCTGTTTCATCATATGATGAACAGGACAATACCAAACAGACCTCTTTACCTTCATTATCTTACAATGAAATAGAGCATAATGATAAGCAAACACCGGCCAATCTCTATGATCAAATCTCTTCTTCCACTTCGCTCTCCACATCATCATCATCGGCAGGCGAATCCACAACCTCGAATGCTGGTTATGCTGATGAGTTTGTTTTGGAAGATCATACCATGCCCGAAGTTAACTACAATGATTATCAAGCTTCCAAGCATCCCACATCCGATTTCAATAAAATGCCCGCTATAGGTATTGCTTATCCAGTAGATATGTCTTACATGGAGGAGGGAGGCAATTTTGAAACTGACGAAGCTTCCTATACCAATAATGGTAATAAACACAAGCATCCGGTACAACAGGATACCCAAACTTCTTATGTGGATACTAAACAACAGCAACAACAACAGCAAAATACTCAAACTTCATACTTAAATACTGTGCAACATAATAAACCTCAAAAGCAACAACAACAGCAGCAAAATGTTCAGAATTCATATTTGAATCAGCAACATCAACAACAACCAAATATCCAAGCTTCATATTCCTCTCAAAATGATGCCGAAAAACTTAACGAACCTCAAACTGTACAAAATTATGTTGCTGAAACTCATCAAAGACCTATTGCTACTTATGTAGGTGTTGTAACTTCTCAAAGTTATAGTCCCGATCCATTACCTCATGAAGTAGTCGTATCTTCTTACACCACCAAAGTAGAGGAAAATGCTGAAGTTTCCACAGAATATAAACCCATTATTACAACCAATCAGATAACCACTACTTCTTATAAAACTACCACTAAACCCGTAAAACACACCGCCAGTTCTACATCTTACACCAATCGACCAACTCTAGTAACCAAGAGACCAACGAACAAAAAACCCACTAAGGCCAGCAGTCAGCGTCCCACAACTCATTCTCATGCCACCACAAACAGTATTATAACTCAACAACATTTCTCCACTACTCCTTTGGAAACTAAGACTCCTTCGCCCATTGAACCTTTGTACTCTAAGCCTACCGTGTCCTATAATCAGGGCATACAACAAGATTATATTATTAGCTCTGCTTCCACACCCAAACCTATTGTTACACGTAAACCTACCAAAAAGCAAACTTCGAAACCTGCCTCGACTAGTTATATAACGGCACCTACCACTCCCAGACCAGTAGTTACTCCACAGTTCCAATACGATCAGGAAGTACCTGTCATACAAGCCGATGATAAATTGGACTCTTTTGTCCACAGTACTGCCGAAAGTTTGGCTTCAGCCACTCCTACACAAGAGACTTTGTCCTATGATCCACCCATATTTGTTAGTGCCGGTTCGCAAGTTCATAGTCAAAGACCTCAATACAACACACACAAAAAACCCACTTTTGTCAAGGTACAACCCACTCAAAGACCAACTACGGTGCTTATAACTGGTAAACCTTCCAGTTTGCAAACTACTGCCAGCACTTTTACCACAGGACAGCATACAACTCCTTTGACTGGTTATGGCAGCACTTCCTTTGTCTACAACTCTTTGGTAACCAGAAGACCAGATTTTGCTGATAGCACTGCTGCTGGTGATTATATGGGCATTAGTACGGTTAATTCCAATGACTTCGATGACCCAGGTTACTATGGTTCTGTCGCCCATCCTAAGCCTGCTAATCAAGCTTACCCCACCGGTACCACAGAAGCTGTTTATCCTGCGCCCACAGACGATAAGCCAGCCTTCCCTGGTTACTATGGACCCACTCCTACTTATCCTGCTTTCCCAGTGCCTGGAGAAAAATTAGACTCTCCCATTGAAGAAGAAATCTTTACTGCTCCCAGCAACGATTTCATTAACTTCCCGCCAGTGCGTAATCCCAATCTTAATATGTCGGCCACTTCAAGCGCAGTCACCAGTGATTTGGAACTTTCGACACCGGCCTTTGTGGAAGACAGTGTATTGAAAAATAAAATGAACACTTTAGTACACAAAATAGTGGAATCTTTACAAGGCAACTTTGAGGCTTTGGCAGATATGATAGATGATAATAACACCTTGGCTGTACAAACCTATCAAGCGGCTCCCGTAGGCTCCACAGTAGTAACCAAGAAACCTACACGTAAGCCGGTAACAAGAATCACTACAGTTAAACCTAAAGTCACCACTAAAAAGCCCATAACTAGAGTTTCGACTAAGGCTCCCACCAAGAAACCCCTTACCACCAGAAAACCCGAAATAACCACCAAACGTCCAGTGGTAAGACGTACCACCACCACCACCCGAAGACCAGCTACCAAGAAACCAACACGCAAAGCAACTACTACCACTAAAGCCCCTCTAGAGGATGAAATTGTCGATGAAGAAGACGAGGAAGATGTTAATCCCAGTGACAACGAAATCGTGGAAGAAGAGGGCTATGGCGCTAGTGCTAGCGGTCGTAAAATACGTAAGTTTTTAATGTGAAATTTATTGAAAAAATAAGAGTGAACAAGATGGTTAGATTGGCATATTGGAAATTTCTTTTCTTCTTAAATCATTCAATTCAAAACTAACACTAAATCAAAACACTTTTAACGCACTGTTTTTCCCTCACTTCTATCGCTATCACTTCATGTCTGTCATTTTCACTTGATCTACTCCTTTAACTTTGTATAATTTCAACTACTAATAGTACAACTGCTTAGTCATCTAGTTGCCATACTGTAGTTTAAAACTCTCCCTCTCCCCCCTCCAAATGTCCTAACTCTAGTCCTCTGTTCTACCCTATCACTTTCCACTTCCCTTCCTTTACACTTTTAAAATCACATCTTTGTTCTTACTGTACTACTTTCCCTTTCTCCTAACCTAAACATTTCACTCCACATCAACAGAATGCGGTATGAGACCTCACGTCAAGTCGGGACGTATAGTTGGTGGCAAGGGAGCCACTTTCGGCGCTTATCCCTGGCAAGTATTAGTACGAGAATCCACCTGGTTGGGTCTATTTACAAAGAACAAATGTGGTGGTGTTCTAATAACAAGTCGTTATGTCATAACAGCGGCTCATTGTCAACCAGGGTAAGTTTGAAGTTCGAAAAATTTGGGAAATTATTAATCGTCTATTTTGTATTTATTAAGATTTTTGGCTTCTTTGGTTGCGGTTATGGGTGAATTTGACATATCGGGCGATTTGGAAAGTAAACGTGCTGTCACCAAAAATGTTAAACGTGTAATTGTTCATCGTCAATATGATCCAGCTACTTTTGAAAATGATATTGCTTTATTGGAACTCGAAAGTCCGGTTACATTTGATACACATATTGGTAAGTTGATTTTATTTTAATTTTTATTTTGATTTTTTAATAGTAAATTATTTGTTCGTTTTAGTACCCATTTGTATGCCTTCGGATGTTGCTGACTTTACTGGACGCATGGCCACAGTTACTGGTTGGGGTCGTTTGAAATATGGTGGTGGTGTACCATCTGTATTGCAAGAAGTACAGGTATGTAGAAGGAGATTATGGGGGAAGTATATTAGATCAGTCTATATTTTAGTCTATTAATCAGTCTATAGAGCAGTGTATTGATCAATCTATAGACCAACCTATTAATCAGTCTATAGAAAGCATAAATATCAGTCTTCAGACCAGTTAATAGACCAGTCTATTGACTGTTACGTAAAAACCGACCTATAGAATGATCTAGAGACTACTCTATTAACAGATCTGAAGACTAATTTCAAGACTGGTCTATAAACTGATTAATAGACAGATTATTAGACAGATCAATAGACTGGTCTACAGACTGATCATATATGTCTGGTTTATAGACTTATCTGTGGACTAGTCTATTGATTGGTCTATAAACTGATCAATAGACTGTTCTATAAACTGATCTACAGAGTCTATAGATTGATCTTTAGACTGATCTTTAGACTGATCAATAGAATGGTTTATAGACTGATCAACAGATTAGTCTATAGACTGATCTATTGGCTGGTCTATTGACTGATTTAAAGATCTATAGATTGATCAATGGAGTTGTCTATAGACTGATCTATTGACTGGTCTATTAACTGGTTTATTGACTGGCTTATAAGCTGATTTATAGTCAATACTAAGTATTCCTTTTCTTTTTTGTAGGTTCCCGTCATCGAAAATAGTGTGTGCCAAGAGATGTTCCATACAGCAGGACATAATAAGAAAATTTTGAATTCCTTCCTGTGTGCTGGCTATGCCAACGGTCAAAAGGATTCATGTGAAGTAAATATATATAGAATTTCAAATATTCTTAACCTCAAACAATAACTTAAACATACAAAACTTTTTAATTCTTCTAACAGGGTGACAGTGGTGGTCCTTTGGTCTTGCAGCGTGCCGATGGTCGCTATGAATTAGCCGGTACTGTATCGCATGGTATCAAGTGTGCTGCTCCCTACTTACCCGGTGTCTATATGCGTACTACGTACTATAAACCCTGGTTAAGAAGTATAACAGGAGTGAAATAATTTAAACAAATCTGAAAACCCATCCTCCCCCATAAACCAGCTTTCAACGAAAGAAATTAATTTATTACAACCACAACCTACACACAACGAATTAACGATTACATACACAAAAACGAAGAAATATTTAAAAAAAAAAACTTAAATAAATTAAGGTGTTTGGTTTAGGAAATTAATTTTTAAAAAATATATAAAAAATATTTTAAAAATGGGGCCTCTACTACATAAATATAACACACACACAAACATATTTATGAAATTTAGTTAATTAGTTTTTATAAGTAGTTTAAATATTTCTTGGAAATTTTTTTTTTGCTTATAAGCAAAACTATTTATTTATTTATTGAATTTAATTTATTTATTATTTATTAAATTATTATTAAAATATTTATTTATTTATTTATTATATTTTAGTTAATTCTTATTATTGTTTATATTTAGTTAATTTATTAAGCATTTAGTAAAATTATTATTGAACAAAAATTAATTGCCTTTTTAAAGAAAGAATGAAAGTAAAAAAACCTTACCTGACAATCTTTTTAAAAATCTGTCAAATATTAACGAATTGATTGTAGTATTTGTTTCTAATTAAGAAATTGTTGCTGCAAAAGAAAATAATAAAAAATAAATAAAAACGAATTGTAAATTAAAGAAAAATATATTTTAATTTTATGGAAAATATTATTGGTGAGTTTAAAAAAAATCTAAGAATAAACGTTTGTTAACAAAATAAATTTTCTAGTCTAGTATTAGATTAATACTAAACTAGTCTATTGGCTGATCTACAGTTTAGTAGATCAGCCTGACTGATCTATACACTATTTAGTCTACAGACTGATTAATTGACAGATTTATATACTGACTATAGATAGACTAATCAAAAGAATGGTCTATAGACTAGTATATAGATCAGTCTATAGACCATTCTTTTAATTAGCTATTGATCTATAGACTGGTCTGTAGACTGATCTATAGCCTGGTCTATAGACTGATCTACAGCCTGGTCTATAGACTGATCTATAGACTGATCTATAGACTGATCTATAGACTGATCTATAGACTGGTCTATAGACTGGTCTATAGACTGATTTATAGGCTGGTCTATAGACTGATCTATAGGCTGGTCTATAGACTGATCTATAGACTGGTCTATAGACTGATCTATAGACTGGTCTATAGACTGGTCTATAGACTGATCTATAGACTGATCTATAGACTGATCTATATACTGATCTATAGACTGATCTATAGACTGATCTATAGACTGATCTATAGACTAGTCTATAGACTAGTCTATAAACTGATTTATAGACTGGTCTATAGACTGATCCATAGGCTGGTCTATAGACTGATCTATAGACTGGTCTATAGACTGATCTATAGACTGGTCTATAGACTGATCTATAGACTGGTCTATAGACTGGTCTATAGACTGATCTATTGACTGGTCTATAGACTGATCTATAGGCTGGTCTATAGACTGATCTATAGAATGATCTATTGACTGATCTATAGACTGTACTATAGACTGATCTATAGAATGATCTGTAGACTGGACTATAGACTGATCTGTAGAATGATCTATAGACTGATCTATAGGCTGGTCTATAGACTGATCTATAGACTGATCTATAGACTGATCTATAGACTGATCTATAGACTGATCTATAGACTGATCTATAGACTGATCTATAGACTGATCTATAGACTAGTCTATAGACTAGTCTATAAACTGATTTATAGGCTGGTCTATAGACTGATCTATAGACTGGTCTATAGACTGATCTATAGACTGGTATATTGGCAGGTCTATAGACTGGTATATAGGCAGGTCTATAGACTGGTCTATAGGCAGATCTATAGACTGGTCTATAGAATGATCTATTGACTGATCTATAGACTGTACTATAGACTATAGAATGATCAATAGAATGGACTATAGACTGATCTCGTATTCCCCGCGGACCAAAATTGCCAACGGTCAATGCGCCAGTGTACAGCAATCCATAGGCAAATATGTAAAGGTGAAATAGAATGATGTAGTCGAGGGGAGCTCTAAGCAACTCCACTCGCACCTAATCCCAACAAGAATAAAGTGGAGGTGGTCGTCAGCTTAGCTATAACACAGGCTTTCTGGGCACAGAGAAGAAAATTGACGAAGATTTCCCAAAAGATCATATTGGATTCTCTGTCAATTGCATTTTTTATTAAAAATTGCATTTTATATCAAAAATTGCATTTTTTTATTAAAAATTGCATTTTTTTATTAAAAATTTAATTTTTCACTAAAAAATGCATTTTTCACTAAAATTTGCATATTTCACTAAAATCTGCATTTTCTACTAAAGTTAGCATTTTCGACTAAAAATTACATTTTTCACTAAAAATTTCCTTTTCACTAAAAAATGCATTTTTCACTAAAAATTGCCTTTTCACTAAAAATTTCGTTTTTTTTACCAAAAATTGCATTTTTCCCAAAAATTGCACTTTTCTACTAAAAGTTGCATTTTTCACTAAAAATTGCATTTTTCACTAAAAATTGCACTTTTCACTAAAAAATTCATTTTTTATTAAAAATTTAATTTTTTATTAAAAATTACATTTTTCACTAAAAATTTCACATTTACCTGTCAAATAAAACAACAATTTTTCAGAACTTTTTGTTTAAATGTACAAATTAAAAATTTTATTTCTTCACTAAACAAAACAATACAGGTTTTTCTATTTTGCTTGCAAATATAATAATTAATATAAAAATATTTAATAAACACAAGAGTAATTAAAACAAATAGAAAAAATTTCAAAAGACATATTGATTGTGATATTATAAAGATGATTTCTTTTATATTTATTGTTGTAGGTTTTTGTATACTTTTGGTTAAATGTCAAACAGAAAAGTAAAATCTAAATGAAAACTTAGTTTATGGCAGTCTTGTATGTTTCCAAACTGTAAAAATTAAAAGAAAACGAGTTAACAAAATAAAAACATTAGAATAAAGGAATTAAAAAAATTCTTGTATTTTTTGTTTTTTTGTAAAATGCATAAAGAAAAAAATGTTGTTAATATAAAAACTATAATTATATTTAGAAAATGTATACAATATGTATGTTGTTTTGTGTTTTGTTTGTGGTAGGAAGGTGTATATAATATACAGATTTTCTTTGTTTTTTTTACAGGCAAAAAAATTAAAAATAAAAAAACAAAAACTGAAAATAAATTTGCCACTTAAAAGGAAAGAGTCTTAAATGGTAAACTTATACTAAATACATACGTATAATAATAATAGTAAAGTATATAGTAAATCTTGGTTTTTGTTACATATTTAATTTGTATTATAAATATTATAAAATTTATGTATATACAACAGGGGGAGGATTTACACAATCAGGTGTTTGGTTTAATTTCAGTTGGTTTTTAATTTTTCACAATGGTAAGATTCAAAGAAAAATTTTTGGTTCACAGATTTAAAAGCTGTTGTGTATATTTGTTTTTGTTTTGTATTTTTATTTTATAATAAATCCAAAAATTGTTCTGATATGAAACTTTCCATATACTTATATTTAGTATTTTTATACTTTCAAATCTTATATACAATTAGCAACTTATTTTATGTTATATTTCAAAAAAATATTATTTCTAATAATAAATTTAGTTTACTAATTAGTTACACCTACAAAATAAGTTAAAACTTAAGTTTATAATTTCTTGAATTTTTACTTTGTTATTTTGTAGGTTTACTTAACTGTTTAATTTTAATGCCTTTTATAATCTTAAAGATTTCTTTTGTTTGTTTTTCATTAATATTTGTAAAATTTTTTACATAAAATCTTAAATTTAGCTGCCTTATTAAATAGTATAGTACACACATACATATATATTAGTATATAAATTAAACATTTAAATTCTTATACATACTAAACAAATAAAACAAAAAAAGTAACTTATGTAAAAGGAAACATTTTCTTTATACAAGGATTGTTACATTTGTATGTAACTAAAATACATTACATGTTAAATCTAATGGAATTAATCAATAATTATTTTAAAGCTCAACAGAAAGAAAAATAAAACAAAATAAAATAAAAACAAATTTCTTTATATGTATACATACACACAAATATATAAAATATTCAGTTGGTTGGTATGGTGCAGGTGAGTAAGTGATTAAGTGAGTGAGATGAGGAGTGATTAATGTTATGAGGAAAGGAATGCTGATGTTTGCTATTGTTGTAATGATAATTATAATAAGCTAATAGGATGATGATGTGTTTGTACGGGAAATGTTGTGGGTGAAATAATCGGTTTTAGTGAATTTATGGTCACTAGATTGTGGATTGACAATCAGTTTTTAACTTTATCTTCTACACTTATATTAGATAATGTCTTTTTTATTCTAAGAGCAGTCAAACGTGCCACTGGATTTGGATACCAGCATTCTTTCATCACTTTTGCCATACTGTGTAGTACTTCAGAAGCATGCCAACGATTAGGAATGTTCGGGCGCATTTTATCTATGCAGACGACCTGTAAATATTACAACATATTAGTTGTTTAAATTTATTAAAAAAACGAATTCTAGTTCTAGTTCAGTTCTAGTTCAGTTTTAGTTCAGTTCTAGTTCAGTTCTAGTTCAGTTCTAGTTCAGTTCTAGTTCAGTTCTAGTTCAGTTCTAGTTCAGTTCTAGTTCAGTTCTAGTTCAGTTCTAGTTCAGTTCTAGTTCAGTTCTAGTCAGTTCTAGTTCAGTTCTAGTTCAGTTCTAGTTCAGTTCTAGTTCAGTTCTAGTTCAGTTCTAGTTCAGTTCTAGTTCAGTTCTAGTTCAGTTCTAGTTCAGTTCTAGTTCAGTTCTAGTTCAGTTCTAGTTCAGTTCAGTTCTAGTTCAGTTCTAGTTCAGTTCTAGTTCAGTTCTAGTTCAGTTCTAGTTCAGTTCTAGTTCAGTTCTAGTTCAGTTCTAGTTCAGTTCTAGTTCAGTTCTAGTTCAGTTCTAGTTCAGTTCTAGTTCAGTTTCTAGTTCAGTTCTAGTTCAGTTCTAGTTCAGTTCTCTAGTTCAGTTCTAGTTCAGTTCTAGTTCAGTTCTAGTTCAGTTCTAGTTCAGTTCTAGTTCAGTTCTAGTTCAGTTCTAGTTCAGTTCTAGTTCAGTTCTAGTTCAGTTCTAGTTCAGTTCTAGTTCAGTTCTAGTTCAGTTCTAGTTCAGTTCTAGTTCAGTTCTAGTTCAGTTCTAGTTCAGTTCTAGTTCAGTTCTAGTTCAGTTCTAGTTCAGTTCTAGTTCAGTTCTAGTTCAGTTCTAGTTCAGTTCTAGTTCAGTTCTAGTTCAGTTCTAGTTCAGTTCTAGTTCAGTTCTAGTTCAGTTCTTCAGTTCTTGTTCAGTTCTAGTTCAGTTCTAGTTCAGTTCTAGTTCAGTTCTAGTTCACTTCTAGTTCAGTTCTAGTTCAGTTCTAGTTCAGTTCTAGTTCAGTTCTAGTTCAGCTCTAGTTCAGTTCTAGTTCAGTTCAGTTCTCTAGTTCAGTTCTAGTTCAGTTCTAGTTCAGTTCTAGTTCAGTTCTAGTTCAGTTCTAGTTCAGTTCTAGTTCAGTTCTAGTTCAGTTCTAGTTCAGTTCTAGTTCAGTTCTAGTTCAGATCTAGTTCAGTTCTAGTTCATTTCTAGTTCAGTTCTAGTTCAGTTCTAGTTCAGTTCTAGTTCAGTTCTAGTTCAGTTCTAGTTCAGTTCTAGTTCCGTTCTAGTTCCGTTCTAGTTCAGTTCTAGTTCAGTTCTAGTACAGAGTGATACAAACTATTAAAAACATTCCCTACATACCTTTTTCATTTCCTCTATGCTAGGGTCCGGCTGCACTACATCATAGTATGGCAATTGATATTCATCATATATCATGCCCATATTACAGCGTCTCGCTATCTCCCACAAAATCAAACCGAATGCATAAACATCGGCTCTCTTGTAAGCATCAAAATGTTGGGCATTCATGGTTTCATCCAAAACTTCAGGAGCCATGTAGCGTTTTGTGCCCACCCTATGTGTGGAGGGTATATCTACGGAATCATTTTTCTCCACATGCCTCACGGCTAAACCCAAATCACCAATGGCACAGGTGAGATTGGTTTTAACCAAGATATTCTTAGATTTTAAATCACGATGTGCAATCGCAGGTTTACCACGAGTACCCACAATATCCATGTGCAGATGAGCCAAACCAGTGGCTATGGATAGAGCCATGCTAAGCATGGTTTTGGTATCAACCGTATGGGAGGTTAAATAATCAAATAGAGAACCATTTTCATGGTAATCGGTAACCAGCCAGAGTTGAGTCCAAGTGCCATTATCTGCAGAGAATGAGATAGAAGTTCTTGTTTTTTTTTTTAATAGAAGATTAAGCAACAACATACCCTTATTATCGGCTGCTATAAAACCTAAAATATTTTCATGTCTCAACATGACAGTCTGATAAATTTCGGCCTCTCGAAACCAAGAGCACTCTTCACGACTGGAAAATATTTTCACAGCCACATTTTCGCCACGCCAGCGACCGCGCCAGACTTCGCCAAAACGTCCTTTGCCTATAACATGACACAATTGTATCTGTCTGGCGATAGAGCGCTGTACGAGTAAAGGCAGACCCGCTAAAAAGTAAAGCAAAGTGATAATAACAAAATTCTTGTTTAATATTAAAACAGATATGTATATCTTCTTTTAGCAAACCTGATCCAGAACCCGATGTGGTCATTTCTATAATATCCTGTAAAGTGTTGCCATTCAGTATGGGATCATATACCGAATCTTCAGGAGCAAATGGTCGAGCTCGACTGCCCTGTTTGCGTTTTTGCCAGTAGCACCATGATAAGAACACCGAAAGACAGGCAGCTAATGTTACTCCAAATATAATGGCGACCAGCACCCAAGTATTTATACTCTCCTCCGGTAAATAATCTATATATTTTGATTTTATTTTAATAACTTTTTTTTTCATTTGCTTTGCATTTTTTTCAAGAATTTTGATGTTTTTTTTTAAGCCACCACAATACTTTTTTTAAGGCCATAAACACATGCAATAACTTTAACTTTATAAATGAATATTGTAAAACAATAAAATGCGAATAAATTATAAGCCAAAACAAAACGAAAAGATATAAATTAACGTGCCCATGTGCAATTGAATGGTTAGTAACAGTGGAGATTTGGTTATTTTCATTTTGGGAAAACATGAATATAATTAAATAAAGCCAAAACAAGTTTATTAAAAAGCCAATATTAAATAAAGATTAAACAATGAATAAATGCATTTATGTGATATTTTTTCTTAAATAAAAATAAATAGAAAAGTTATACATAAGAAAATATAATGCAAACATTAAAATATGTATGTTTTTGTTTAATATATAGACAACAAAAATATGTATATACATTAACGCTCACTCTCACAATATATTGCTACACGCAATCTCATTCATACTTTTCACATACTACAACAGTACGTTTTAAAAAAAATTGTATCTAATTCTTATTGTCTTTAGAGTCATTTATTTAATTTTTTTTATTTAAAAACCTAAAACTGAATAAAAAATTTGCAATAATATCTCCTTAATAACTTCTTAATACCAAAGATGTAAAAGTTTTCATTATATGAAAATTTCGTCTAATGGAAAAACTTTTGTTAAATATAAAATGGTTTGACTTATTGTTTAAAAATACTTTTTATAATTCAAAACTTAAATTCGTATTGAAATGCAAATTTTCAAACATAAGTTCGAATTTAGAAATCGAAATATATTCGAAATCGAAATATATTCGAAAATATAAGAAATTGTTTTAAAAAAAGTTAAAATTATGTTTTTATTTGGAGATAATTTTTATAGCCTAACAAATTTTTCAGACGTATGTTCGAAATTTAGAATTTTCGGAATTATCTTCAGATAATAGTCTAGTCTAGTCTATAGTCTAGTCTATAGTCTAGTCTATAGTCTAGTCTATAGTCTAGTCTATAGTCTAGTCTATAGTCTAGTCTATAGTCTAGTCTATAGTCTAGTCTATAGTCTAGTCTATAGTCTAGTCTATAGTCTAGTCTATAGTCTAGTCTATAGTCTAGTCTATAGTCTAGTCTATAGTCTAGTCTATAGTCTAGTCTATAGTCTAGTCTATAGTCTAGTCTATCTATAGTCTAGTCTATAGTCTAGTCTATAGTCTAGTCTATAGTCTAGTCTATAGTCTAGTCTATAGTCTAGTCTATAGTCTAGTCTATAGTCTAGTCTATAGTCTAGTCTATAGTCTAGTCTATAGTCTAGTCTATAGTCTAGTCTATAGTCTAGTCTATAGTCTAGTCTATAGTCTAGTCTATAGTCTAGTCTATAGTCTAGTCTATAGTCTAGTCTATAGTCTAGTCTATAGTCTAGTCTATAGTCTAGTCTATAGTCTAGTCTATAGTCTAGTCTATAGTCTAGTCTATAGTCTAGTCTATAGTCTAGTCTATAGTCTAGTCTATAGTCTAGTCTATAGTCAGTCTAGTCTAGTCTATAGTCTAGTCTATAGTCTAGTCTATAGTCTAGTCTATAGTCTAGTCTATAGTCTAGTCTATAGTCTAGTCTATAGTCTAGTCTATAGTCTAGTCTATAGTCTAGTCTATAGTCTAGTCTATAGTCTAGTCTATAGTCTAGTCTATAGTCTAGTCTATAGTCTAGTCTATAGTCTAGTCTATAGTCTAGTCTATAGTCTAGTCTATAGTCTAGTCTATAGTCTAGTCTATAGTCTAGTCTATAGTCTAGTCTATAGTCTAGTCTATAGTCTAGTCTATAGTCTAGTCTATAGTCTAGTCTATAGTCTAGTCTATAGTCTAGTCTATAGTCTAGTCTATAGTCTAGTCTATAGTCTAGTCTATAGTCTAGTCTATAGTCTAGTCTATAGTCTAGTCTATAGTCTAGTCTATAGTCTAGTCTATAGTCTAGTCTATAGTCTAGTCTATAGTCTAGTCTATAGTCTAGTCTATAGTCTAGTCTATAGTCTAGTCTATAGTCTAGTCTATAGTCTAGTCTATAGTCTAGTCTATAGTCTAGTCTATAGTCTAGTCTATAGTCTAGTCTATAGTCTAGTCTATAGTCTAGTCTATAGTCTAGTCTATAGTCTAGTCTATAGTCTAGTCTATAGTCTAGTCTATAGTCTAGTCTATAGTCTAGTCTATAGTCTAGTCTATAGTCTAGTCTATAGTCTAGTCTATAGTCTCTATAGTCTAGTCTATAGTCTAGTCTAGTCTATAGTCTAGTCTATAGTCTAGTCTATAGTCTAGTCTAGTCTATAGTCTAGTCTATAGTCTAGTCTATAGTCTAGTCTATAGTCTAGTCTATAGTCTAGTCTATAGTCTAGTCTAGTCTATAGTCTAGTCTATAGTCTAGTCTATAGTCTAGTCTATAGTCTAGTCTATAGTCTAGTCTATAGTCTAGTCTAGTCTATAGTCTAGTCTATAGTCTAGTCTATAGTCTAGTCTATAGTCTAGTCTATAGTCTAGTCTATAGTCTAGTCTATAGTCTAGTCTATAGTCTAGTCTATAGTCTAGTCTATAGTCTAGTCTATAGTCTAGTCTATAGTCCAGTCTATAGTCTAGTCTATAGTCTAGTCTATAGTCCAGTCTATAGTCTAGTCTATAGTCTAGTCTATAGTCCAGTCTATAGTCTAGTCTATAGTCTAGTCTATAGTCTAGTCTATAGTCTAGTCTATAGTCTAGTCTATAGTCTAGTCTATAGTCTAGTCTATAGTCTAGTCTATAGTCTAGTCTATAGTCTAGTCTATAGTCTAGTCTATAGTCTAGTCTATAGTCTAGTCTATAGTCTACATAATGATCTATAAGTAAACAGATCATTATGTGGGCATCCCGTGGGATAGTGGTTAATTTTGTAGTCTGTTGGACCGGAGGGCGTAGGTTCGATTCCCACCAAAGCCACTGGTATAAGAGCGCACAACAGGACCGATGGAGGCCTAGTTGTATTTCATCGGATTTGATGTCATTCATTTTTAAAAATTTTTCGAATATAAGTTCAAAATTTCAAATTTCATTTTTTGATATTAACTTAAAACTCTCATACTCCTAATCTGCATTGAAAATATGTACTGAAAAATTTATAAAAATGTTTCAATTATTTTCAAAATTTTGAAGTTGGAAAATCTTAAAATTTGACCTTAAATTAAAATAAAACAGATTTAATAACATATCGAACATAATTGTAAAGTTTCTCTATGGGAACTGGTTCAAAACCATTAATTTAGAGTTTCTAAGAAAAGTAATAAAAGTTCTAGTATTTTGAAAACTTGAACTTTTTAACATTCAAAAGATTAATTTTGAAGTAAAAACCTTCTTGAAACTTATTTGATAATGTTAAAAAAGTATTATTTTCTGGGAAATGATTGATATTTTTCGATTTCGTTGAAATTTTTCATTAATTATTACGTTTTAACTTACATACTACTTATAGCCTATTTAAAACGTACTGCTTCTTTTTTTCATATACTTTCATATTTACAAATAAATATCATAATTTTTAAAGAAGTTTTTCATATAAATTTAACTCTATAACCATAAATTTCCAGCTCTGAATTTCCCCCTTAAATAAAAGACAATAACAAAACTATTATACTTAATTCTTAATAATAATTCCTAAATAAAATATAAAAAAAACTTTGCAAAATACATACTTGCATTAAATATATTTTTGTAAATATTCCCCATTCAAATTAACTCTTAACATCTGTGATTTATATTCCATAAACAAACAATGATTACAATTCCATAAAACATAAACGTCGCAAAACATTAAAAATATTCAAGCCAATTTTGGGTGAAAGAAACCTTTAATAAAAACAATTAACAAATAAACGAAGTTGTACAAAAAAAAGGGGAAGAAGTACGGCGACGATACACTTCCCAGCCCATTCCTTTAAAAAAAAAACATTCATGATAATAAATGAAATATAAAAAATAAAAAAAAAAACAACATAAGACATCTTTAAAACAAATATATAATTATATAAAACCTGCCGACACTTTACGTTCCAAAAATAGTAAAAAAGAAAACTACAAAAATAATTTTGAAAATGAATAATATTCAAGCGGTTTCCATATAATCTTTACCCCGTAGTATTTGCCAATGAGTTTTAAAATATAGTAGTGAAACTTATGATAAACAAATGATAAACAAATTTTTGAGGCGATTTATTTTTTGTTTGGGTTTAAATTTCTTTCGATAATTGATAATAATGGACAACAAAATTTGTTTGATATATTTATTTATTTATATATAAAATGTGAATTTGAGATGAGTGCTAACAGCTAAACTTTGAATTCCTTATATCATTGATGTTTTGAATTTAGTTTTTGATTTTGAATTTAAATTTGTAGTAGCATTTTGTTTAAAAAGGAGGTTTTTTTTGTTGTTTGTTAGTCTCACCTGGCAGTGTACCCGCATAATTATCTCTTGTATTACAAAAATCTTCTTGGCAACATTGTACAGAGGATTCTGAGGTACTTTCGTGACACCAGGCAGGATCATCTGGTGGTATGTGGTTTTCTACAGACATGCATCTAATTAAAGTTGCAAATACACATAAATAACGTAATACACATATTTTAAAGTTTCGAGTAAAAAAGATTTTATGCAAAAAAAATACAGCCCATTAAAGAAAATAGTATAAATAGTTAATAAACATTAGGAAAAAAAATTTAACACTAGCGCAATAGTAGATAAAAAAATACCAGAAACCAATTAATGTTATAGCTTAATTGTTAAATAATTAAGTAATTTTTTTTTTTTTTTTAAACAAAAGAAAACAGCCCTATAAAAAATAGCTATTTTTAAAAAATTAATTAAATTTCCTTATAGTTACAAACCAGCAGTTATTGTTAGAGATTTATTATTACTCTGGATTTTCCCAGTTGCTTGTATCGCATTAAAAGTAATTTTATTACTTTTTTTAGCCATTAAAAAAAGAAGCCTTGTATGTATTACAAGATCTAAAACTATGTTTTATATTCAAATTTTGTTTGATATTATATTTTTTTGTCCAAAACTTTAAGTCCTCATTTTGTAAAAAGAAATAAATTTGTATTTTCCAGTCTGTTTAAAAAAGTTACATTTTACAAAATGAGGCCCATTATTCCCCTACCCATCTTATTCCCTTAATTTGATCATTACCACTACCGAAAAAATTAAAACAAATACTAACTTTCCCGAATACTTAGGTCAATGAAAAAGTTTTCTAAAAAGATCAGATTTTCTTGACAAAATGATTAAAAGTTTCCAAATTATTTTTAAAATTTTCAAGCTCGAAAGTTTAAATATTTAAAAAATTGTCCTTAAATAAATGTATTTTATATTTTCAAGAATCCTCATGATTTATATACCATTTTGACAGCTTTAACATTTTTTCGAACATAATGTCGATTTTTCGAACTTTTTTAAAAATCATTTCATAGAAAATCATTAGAAAATGTAAAAAAATGCTTTTAAATAAAACTAAAATCACTTAACATTCTCTAACTACATTAAAAGTAATTTGAAATTTATGAAAATTTTGAAATTATTTGCAAAATTATCAAGTTCCAAAGAGCAAAAACATTTAAGAAATTTTGCTTAAATAACATTAATATCATATTTTTATGGATCCTCAAGATTTATAGATCGTTATAACAGCTTTAAAAATTTTTCGAACATAAGTTCGAAATTTCGAAAATATTTTATGAAGAAGATCGATAGTGCAAAAATTTAAGAAATTTCTCTTAAATGAAACTAAAATTATATTTTTATGAATTCTGATGATTTAGAGATCATTGTAACATCTTTAAAAATGTTTCGAACATAAGTTCGAATGTTCGAATTTAATTTCGAATTTTCGAAAATATCTTAAAAAGCTCATAATCTCAATCATCAATTAAAATATTTTAAAATCTATAAAAATTTGGAAATTAATTTCGAAATTTGAAGTTCGAAAGTGCAAAAATTTAAGAAATTGCTCTTAAATGAAACTCAAATTTTAATTTTATGAATCCTCATGATTTAGAGTTTATTTTAACAGCTTTAAACATTTTTCTAACATATGTTCGAATTTTCGAATTTAATTTCGAATTTTCGAAAATGCCTTAAAAAGTTTATATTCTCAAACTACTTGAAAAATATTTTAAAATTCGTGAAAATTTTTAAATTATTTTCAAAATTTAAAGTTCGAAAGTGCAAAAATATAAGAATTTGCCATTAAATAACGTTAAAATTACATTTTTATGAATCCTTATGATTTAGAGATCACTTTGAAAATTCGAAAATAAGTTCGAATGTTCGAAAATATAAATATTTTTAGAGATCACTTTGAAATTTAAAAAAAATTCGAACATAAGTTCGAATTTTTAAAATCTTAAATTCTGAAACAACATGGTCCATTGTTATTACCTACTATAAGAAGATATAGAATAAGTAAAAATAAGAAATTAGATAGAGGATAGAAGAACAGATAAAGAAAGAAAAGACTACATCATTGTAGTCTCCAACCGAAAGAACAACTAATTCCATTGATAAAACCCAATTCTTCGTGAAATCTATTTCCTAGCCATTTCTTCCAGAAACCCTGTATTCTACAACAATAGCACATTATATGTTCAATCGTCTCTAGATCCTCCGGAACTTCGCATAGCCCACAAAATACCAGTACAGTCATGTCCCATTTGCTAACAAAGGCCCTAATAGAACAATACCCCATAAAACCCCTATCAGAATCCTTTGACTACACCTATCCAGTACAATAAGTACTTTGGTTGCCTTTGCATCAAGCTTTGGCCATAAATCCTTTGATATCCTATAATAGTAATCCGTCGTGGAATCTATTTCCTATCCGAATCTTCGCATAGAAGTCCGGTATACTCACGTCCCATTTGCTACAAAGGCCTTAATAGAACAATGCCCTATAAAAACCCCTATCAGAATCCTTGGACTTTACATATCCAGTCCAATAAATACTTTAGTTGCCTTCACATTGGCCATAAGTTTTTTGATACCCTACAATCCAATTAAGTACTCCAGACTCTTAGTTCTTTTTTAAAACATTTCAACCATTTGATAAAAGCTTTTAATGCTCAATGTGACTGATAACTCAGTCACAAAATTTGCTGCATAAAATCGAATTATGTATTTATCTATTAAACAAATTTTAACCAATTAAGCTAAAAAGTAAAAGTAAGTTTTAAATTAATTATGATAAAAATCATAAAAATTTTTTTAACTCATAAAAATTTATCACAAATTTAAATATGAACCATACATATCGATAAGGTTTTAAAAAGAAAACTTTCAGGGTAATCATAAAACTGTGAGTACCATAAAAAATCAAAAAAATGACAAAAAATAACAAATAATTTATAATTTAACTAATTTATAAAAATAAAGAAAATTTAAATTATAGTTATAGACCAATTAAAAAACTTAAAATTATAGTTCCTTAAATACTGTTTTTTTAACAAAATATCCTATTAAAATCTTTTACAACATCCTGAAAACAATCATTCACACTTTAACACTGCTAGTGAGTATTAATGTTTGTGATTTATTATTTCTTACTTTGTTTGTTTGCATGCATCAGATAATTCATTTTAGCTAATTAAGTTAATTAAAACAGAGTAATATTAAGTAAATATACTACAATATAAAAAGTAATTTGTTTACTAAAATATTAAATATTTCAAGTTTTCAAAACTAGAGCAGTGCAAATGTTTAAAAAAAGCAAAAAAAAAAACAAAAAATATAAAGTAGATAGTAGTCAAACTGAAGGAATAATGATGGCGCTTTGGATAAAGGGGGATATAATAAATAGTAACTATAATAACAAACATTTCCAAACAAATTAGTCAATTGAGTTAGAAATTAGCAGAGGCTTGTTTGTCAGAAACCAATGTGCAAGTATACAAAAGTGTGTAAAAAAGTGTAGGTGTGTGTAATTATAATAATAATCATAATCATAATCATAAGACAGAAAGATTGTAAACAAATTGTTCGATAATTAGGAAAAAACCGAAAAAAAATTATTGTATTATAAAAAAAATGAAGCATCAGTAAAAACAATGCTGTATTATTGATAAGAATTTCTTGAAAATAATTATAACAGGATTAATAGACGTAAATGTTAAACAATAGCATAGCAAATACCCTTTTAAAAGCTTGGAAGAAACTCATTTTTGTTTTTTGAATATTTAATAGACAAAGACTTGTCATAAAAGTTGTAATAAAATTTGGCTCCAAATTTTGTAAAATTGATAATTTAAACCCAAAATTTTGTTAATTTTTTTTTATAAAACAGTTAGACAGACAGACCCTAGTATATGGTATTTTACTTTACTTTACTTTAACTTAATTAAATTTTGCTTTTTAAACCTGTTATAAATATTTCAATTTATTTTCTTTAAAATACAACGAGTAATAAAAACAAATTATGTATTTAATAAAAACTAAACTAATTAATGCTTTGTTTGTTGTCTAAATAGCAGTAGTAGGTTTGATTAAAAAGAATATTGTGTTTGATATTTGTTAATTGGTTTGAATTGAATTGTTGTTTTTTTTTTATAACGCAAAATACCTTCGGAAAAACTGAGTTTTAAAAGTTCATTTTTATTGCAGAAGTCCTCATGACAACATTGAACATTATAAATATTCTGTTTTTGTTTGGTCGTCAAACATTCAAGCGGCTCTCGTTGGAGATCGTACTTTTTATCAAGGCACCTAACAAAACAAAATATGGAGCATTCAAGAAATTAAGTGGGTATTGGGTGATTTGATTAGATAGTTAACAAACATGTTAGAATAAACAAAAAAAAAATTATGTATATTTAAAAAAGAACATTTTAAAGCTCTTCTAACGAAGAGGCCAAGGAAAATATTATTTATTAAGGTTAGTATTTTGAGGTAAATTAAAAAAAAAATAATTTGAAAAAAAAACTAAAAAAATATATACAAAATGTTTTGTTTTTTAAATTTTAAAATAACAATTTATCCTTTTTAAATTACATTCAACTTGGTCCATACAAAACGCAAAAGCTGTTGGTTAGTTTATTGAAATGTTTTTTGGTTTTTTGTTTTGTTGCTGTTTAGTTTTTTTGCTTTATTATCATTATCATCATCATTATATTGTTATTCTTATTGTTATTATTGTAACGAACGTACTCAATATGAAAAATTAAATGTTTTAACATTTCCAGGACATACTTGCATTGTCCCTTTTTAAGGAAAATAACAAGAGGGAGCAGTGAATAAGAAAAACAAAAAAAAAATAGAATAAAACAAACGTTAAAGCGGTGGCTTTTGTATTAGCAGCCCACCTTTTGTTGAGTCATTTAGTTGTAGCCCATTATGGGAATCGTAATAACGTATAATAGGTTTTAAATTTAAATTGCATAAATCATAGTTTTTGCAACAAGCATGACCACCATGTTTAGCAGCTGGTCTGGCTGTTGGACCACCATTACGACCGTCGTTGCACCATATAAAACGACCGGGTGGAAAACTTTGTGACATATTTAGACATCTAATTTTGCGATATATAAGAAGAATTTTTATTATTAATATCAATTACTCTCAATCATGAATCATGTTGTTTTATTTTGCGGTGGTTCATTGGTTGGTTGTTTGCAGAGAAATGTTGTTTTGTTCGGTATAAAGGTAATTTTAGTTTATTTTTAAATAAATTTTAATAAAAAAAATATAAAATCAAATTGAATAAAAATTAATTTTATACGAATCAAAAAAGAATTTAACTGTTGTTGTTTATATATATCCCAATAAGCAAAAACCTTTGAAATGATGTAAATATGTATTTGAAAACCTATTCAAATTTCATACATAGCCTTTGAGAACAAATTTGAAAATTTTTGTTTTCAAATGGAAAATTATGGCCTTCTCAAACAAAAAGGCAGTTAGAAATCAAACGTATTTTTCAAATGTATTTCAAATTTAAAAAAAGGCTAGAGGTAAGCTTGAAACTAAAAAAAATTTCAAACTTATTTCAAGTATTCTTTATTATTATTTTCATACATATTTCTAACCCTAATTATAATGCTAACTATTGCAAAATTCATATATTTTTTTACATCACCTGAAAATAAAACATTCATACATTTATTTTAGCATATTTTTCTTTTATATCTCCGATTATTTCTCCTATATTTAACGTTTTTTCGCTCCCTTGCTTTAGAAAAAATGTTCTGTTTTTATTTTTCTAAAATAATTTATTTTTTGAAAGAAACTTTTCTAAGTTCAATTAAAACAAAACTTTGAAAATTTTATAAATATCACACATTATATTTTTTTAAACGTTTTTTGAAATTATCATGTTTATTTCAAAGGCTAAACATTAAAATTTGAAAACAATTTGGAAAATACATTATTTAGTTAAGAAAATTTTCAAAAATATTCACAGGTTTGGATCGATGTTTATTGGGATTGTTATTAAATTCTCAAGTATGTAGTTGTAATTGAAAGAAAATTGTTAAAACTTTACAACTTACCTGTAACTAAATATTAATGCTCCTGATGTTTCCTTTTGTACTGAGGTGAAACAGTAGCCATCTGTTTCACAAATATAATTGTTGTCTTTACAAATGTCACAATGACATTTTAAAGGACCTAAAGGGGGGTGAGTGAAGATGAGTTAGTAATATTTAAGAATTTAAAAAAATGCAAATATTTATAAAACTAGTATAAAGTGAAGAAAGCTCAATCCTAGATTAAGTTTGTAAGGGTTGTAACTTCACTCGGATACCGCTTTATTCTATTCTCTTCATTAAGATTACAAGAGAGATGTATAAGAGGAAGCCTTGTTTAAGAAAAACGTTATTTTCAGATCTTGAAGTAGTAGAAATGAAAAAGGAGATATAATACTATAGTCTCTCCAATAGAAAGAAAAACGGTAGAACAATTCTAACAATAACACAACTCCAACTAAGCCTTAATAAAGGATAGAGCTCTACTGTATTCGAATCTACCCTTAGAACTTTTCCATAACATTAAATTTCGATATTTACTGTCCCAAAGTTAAAAAACTGGCTTTTTTGGCCATGTTTGAGAAGTTATAAATAGAGCTTATAAACCTTAATTAAAAATCTGTTATTTGGAAGTCTAATATGTCGACTTTTAAATAAAGTCTTCACTTTGTTATATATTCTTCCTTTTTCAAGATATCCCAACCTAAAACTTGAACCAACTATAAATTGACAAAAGCTGAAGTTTTTATTACATTTGGACTTTATTTTACAACGAACTTAAGTTGTTATAATTTTCCCATAAATATACTTTTTAAACATTTCAAAAAACTAAAAAACAGAAACTATTTGGGATATTTTTCAAAACTGTTTCAAAGGTATACCTATGTAATTATAACAACAGTATCTAGATACTTAGTTAATGAACAAGAACAACAAAATTCTTTTTAGAATTCTTAAAAACTTTCACTTCCTAAGTGCCCTAAAACTAAAAAATTAACTAAAATGTTGTAAAACAACAATCAATAAAATAGATGTACAAAATTTAACCGACTTACGATCACGAATCTTAGTTTTTGGTTTATTTTGTATGGTGACTGGTGTAACCTGGGAGACCAGCATCATAGGTAAAGAATCATTTAAAATACCATACGGTTTTGTAGTTGTAGTAGTTGTTGCTGATGCTGTAGAACTATCTCTATATGTGTGATCATATTCTGATGACATGCTGTTATAATTAGCAACAGTTGTATTATCCCGCAATGAATTATTTGTGGTTAAAGGTACAGCTGTATAATAATAAAGATTTTTTTTAATTATTAAAATTTTCCCTAATTTATTACAATTCACTTACCCTGTACTAAGCTTACTCCTTCCATACAAAGTGTAAGATAAAGTAACACTGATATTTGAAGAATAAACAATGATTTAGCAAAAGTTCGCATATTTTGAAAAATGTAAACATTTTTAATAAACAAATTATTTTTCAATAGAGTATACATGTTTTTGTTGTTAATGTTGTTTTGTTTACTGCAAATTAATATTTGTAATTTAACTTTAATAATTTATAGTAAATTTAAATGTAAACATTTATAAAAGCAGGCATTTTAACATCATCAGAAGGATAATCTTTTAAACATGATAAGCAGAAGTAACCACCAATAGAAAAAGAAACATCGCGCCACCATAACAAATTTAAAAATAGTATTTTTTCCTATTATAGGTAATTGTTGTTGTTCTCAGTTTGTTGTATTTTAATGTTGTTTATTAATAAAATTATTATATTTATAGGTAACAAAATATCTTTGTCGTAAATGATTGAATGATGATTACGAAGTTGTTATTATTTTTGATATTGTTAGGAGGCAGCCGTAGCAATTGCTCTTGTTTTTGTTTTTGTTGTACCGTTTTTATTGACGATATCTTTGCTGTCGTTGTAGCTGCTGCTGCTTTTGTTGTTCGTTTAATAATAGTAGTTGTTGTAGTTGTGGTAGTAGTTAAGGGTGAAGGGTCGGTTGGATTACATTCAACCATTGTTGTTACTTTATCATTATCATTAATTTTTCCATACACAAATCAATTTAGTTCTGAAAGAACAAAAAAAGCACACACACACTACACAAACATCTACTTGCATTTCTTGTTATTTTTAAGCATATTTAATTAATTTCTTTGTAAATATTTCTTCTTTTTTATTTTTATACTTTTTTTATAAGTTTTTTTCATGCTCCACCATTTTTTTCCGATTTTAAGTTTTTTTAACTTGTGGTGGGTCCAAAAATTTCTTCCACCGTCTTTTTTTGCAAATTTTTCATCAATTTTATCACGTGATTTTAGGCTTGAAATCCTATTAAACTCTTGAAATTTTTATAAATTTATTGAATACACATATTTAACTAATAGTTTTTGTAAAAATATAAAATTTTTGTATTGTTAATTTATAAGAAAAATACCAAAGTTTTAATACACTATCGCGAAACATTGGAGCAAGAGGTCGTGAAAAAAATCGCCATTTTTTGCTTTTGACGTTTTGCCAATGTTGCCAGTTGTTATTTATTTATGCTGTCATATTAGAAATTGACACTTATACATCCCCAACAATAATTATCGAGTTAAATACAATTATGTATTTATCTACAAAGACAGAATAAAAATTATATATTAACTTTAAAGTCACAAAATACACATTAAATAGTAACTTGAAATGATGTCTACAACTTTTTCAATATTGCATCGAAATGCGTACCTTTATATTGATGAATTTTTGAAATAACAAAACTTTTGTTGACAAAAGTTAATATGTATTACGTTGTATATGTATAAATGAAACAATATTATGCAACGTTGTATATATTCCAAAGCACTTTACTATGATATTTATATTGTACGGAAGCACTTTCATACGATATTTTTTTATATTGATCGGTTCATGAATAAAGAAGATATTCTATATACATATATTAATTTATAAAATCTATAACTTCAAAACTAAAGAAATTATTTGGCTATTGTTTAAGGTAAATATATAGAATATCTGCGAGATCCGAATCGTCATCAGTCATCATTCTGCAAAATTGATTTTATAATACTTTTAAAATACTCCTTAGTCACCCTGTTGAATATCCAAAACATTCTGTTAATAAAAAACAACTCTGCTACAATTGTTTATGTTTTTTATCAGATGTTTTCTTTTTGTTTGTTGAAAAAAATTCATTGTTGTGAATGCGTTTTGTGTTTTTGAGTAATTAAACAAATATTACAAATGTAAATCAGTCTGTAAATGTTAACAAAAATTACATTATAACTCTGTACGAAAACAAAACTCTTGATAATTCTGTGTATATAAATAATTGTATTTTATCAATAAAATGTGATAGACCTTTGAAGGGAGATAACGATTTGACCTGTGTAATTTATCATCTACAAAAAAATGAACAGCGACCACCAAACAATAAGCTCAGCCACCAATAATAGTAATAATAATGATGAAGCGTTTTTTATATTTTTTAACGGATCACGAGTTACGGTTGCCTGGCAAAATGAGACACCACCATTTTCGCCCATACTGCGGTTGTGTTCCATAAGCCCAACAATTTTCTTATTGTTAAATCAAGACAAATATCTGTATGAAGCTAAATTTGACCATGAAAATTTAGTCATAGAAATGAAATGCATACAACGAAATGTTATCGATGTACAATATTGTCGTATCGCGAAAGAAGTGTTTTTAGTGTTGGGGGAGGGATCTGTTGTAAAACAACGTATTTCAGACTACGCGAAACCTTTGGAAGATCATTTGTGGTTGCCAGTGATATTTGATCCATTGGAACTTTCCGAAGATGGTGTACGCATTAAACGTATTTGCAGTTCTTCGGAGGCCACTATTTTTCTCTCCAATATGGGTGATATTTATGCCCTGGGCAATTGTGGTGTACATTTTTCTGTGGAGTGTGAGCAGCCTAAACTTTTGCGTTTATTTAAAAAGGGTCTGGATATAATAGATATTGCAGCAGGCGAACAATTCTTTATTTTTCTAACAAGGAAACAATGGCAGCTTGAGGTAAATCAACCAATAGCTGTACAGAATTATGGTAAGTAAAGATAATTTAAAAAGTGAAGGTTCATTTTCCAAAAGAACGATCTTTTTAGGTGAATTACCCGATCTTTTACGTTCAGAGCAGTGTAATAAAAACACCTCAAATTCAATGCATTCCTCTACAATTTCTACCGTCCTTGATATGGAGACTAGTATACAAAATCTTCTACAACAAGGATACTCTCTTCTGCATACGCAAATCTTTAGCATGGGCTCCAACAATAAGGGTTTACTTGGCACCGGAGATCACATTAAACGAGATTCTTTGTATAATGTGCAAAAACTTAAAGAAGTGGGAGTTTGCAGTTTGGCAACTGGCAAAACTCACACTGTTGTGCGTACCATAGACGGACGTCTGTATCATTGGGGTTTTAATGATCAAAAACAACTAACAAATAATGAACAAATCTTCGAAATCAGTAGTCCAACAGAGTTAAGTTTTGATTCCTCCGATTTGGATGTGCCGCGTGTACATATATTGGAGGCCTGTTGTGGTGATTATCGCACAGTTCTGTTGAATACTCAGGGTGAGATCTTTGAAAAAAATAAGCAGACTTACAGTCAAGAGAAAGATTTTCTAACCATGCAAATGAAAGACATCAGCCAACAATCATATCCCCTACTTTTGGCCAGCCATCAGCTAACCCTTTATAATCGTCGTTATTTTAAGCGACAATACCACACTTTGCATCATCATATTCAAAATCAATTAAAACTAATGATGAGTTTTCGTAAGAAATTTCTGCAACTCAATCAAATAGTGGAAAAAGTACTAAAAGATCTGCATGAAGTTTGTCATCATTGGGAAAATGTTTTGTATTTAGTCATAACTATATTGCATTCATTGGAACAGTTCTATCGCGGGGATTATGATCAGTCGACGGAGCTGGTTGTTATTAAGTATTATCGTGAATGTATACAAATCTTTGAATTGTATACGAAAGCCTACTGTGATACATATTCCGTAGATGGATTCAATGAAGCCTATCAACTGTTTAATCACTCGTATCCGCCCACCACATCAGCGGGCTACAAAAATCAAGATCTTTTAAAAATGTTTCAACAACCATTTTTGATATTTCCATATGTTATACAATTATTAGAGCATATCCAGAAACACGAGAACATTTGCAGGGAGGAACTTCTAGCATGGAATGAATTTTCTCGTCGCAATCGCATTGATTTGGAACTGGCAGATAACACGCGCGATTTTTGGCGCTCTAACTTAAAAAATACCAAAGTGTTACAATTTAAAACCAAGGAGAGAAGAGTTATTCTAAGCTCGACTGCAGTACCTATAAAACTTTCACACGTGGGCTTTGGCGCAAACGTATTTATATTATTCTCTGATTTCCTATGTCAGCATAGTAGTCAGATAACGGCTTTGCCTCTGAATGCCATGTGGCTGAGAAAAGAAGAGGCTGGCATACGCATTATAACTCCTGAAAAGAATTTTGTACTGACCTCAAAAAATAAACACGACATAGAATTGTGGTATGATCAACTAGAGATCACCATCAAAACTGTACTTATGCTAAGCGAAAAATCAAAAATTCCCGAAGTTCGTATGATTGACTACAACTTTGCGCCGAATCATGCAATCTACGGAGGTGTATATGTCAAGGGTAACTTTTCTAATGGTGTCATGCATGGCAAATGCCGCTTGGAATATCCAAATGGGAAAATGTATTCAGGCGATGTCATACACGGTGTCATAGAAGGTTACGGTAGAATGTTCATACCAAAAGTTGGCCTTTATAAGGGCAATTTAAAAAATGGTAAATTCTGGGGCCACGGCACTTTGATCATCAACGAAAAAGAGTTGTACGAAGGTAATTTTCGCAATGGACTCTTTAACGGACACGGTCATAAGCAACATAGTGATTACGTTTATATTGGTGAATTTGTGGACAATCAGAGGTGTGGCTATGGAGTACTCGATCGCATTGCGGCGGGTGAAAAGTATTTGGGTTTATTTGCTGATAACAAACGTGTAGGCAGTGGTGTTTGCATCTCGTCAACTGGCGATTACTTTGAAGGTTCATTCGCCAATGATGAATTGACGGGACGTTGTATTGCGATATTTCCCAATGGTTTTTATTATGAAGGCGAATCTACTTTAAATGGTCCCAGTGGTTTGGGAAAATACTATATGCCTGTTGGCTACAATAAACAGGATGAAGATGTAAGTTATTTTTTTTAAATAAATAATTTCTAGAGAAATATTTAAAATAGATAAGATTTGAAAAGAAAATTTGCAAAATGTTGGTACATTTTCGTTGGAAAACTAATTTTATCACATTAACATATTAGAACATTGATATGACACTAAATTCCGAAATGATGGGCAACATATTGAGTGGTCAATTAACTGGAACCTGGGAAAATGTACGCATTAACGCTGGAACTATGGAAATCAATCGTAAATTTACAAAATATCCCAGGTGGGTTATTTATAATCTAAACAAATATTTACCATATAGTGAACTATTATATTTTCTTTAGCGCCTTTGGTTCGAATATTATTGATAATTCCCGAAAATGGTGTTCTCTGTTTGATGATTTCGAAAATGAACTTTTTGGAGATTTAGCAAATGCTACACCCAACACCAAACCTTTAATATTTGCTTTGTGGAATCGAGTTATCGCTTTCATAAGCAAACAACAAGAACTCGAAAATGAAAAGCTAATACCCCGCGAACTAGACATAACCAATATTTCGACTGCAAATGTTAGCAGTCACAACAACAATAAAAAAGGTTTTCTACCTTTGCAGAATATTACAAAAGATTTCGATAAGTTGAGCTTAAATTCGTCATTGTTAAATTTCGATAAACTTGAATTGAGTCGCACTCATTCACATTCCGAAGACACACTAAACGGTTTGGATTTCTCCAGTTTTGATCTGCTTAGTACATTCAATAAATTGACAAACCTAAGCTCGGATGATAGTGGCGGTAGTCATACTTATTCTACATTAATGGATGTAATGGAAAATTGTAATAACATAACATTGGATTCATTCAACGACAGTGCTTTAAGTAACAGTGTACCAAATGAGGATTGGTAAGTATTTTTAAAATTCAATCTAATATATTTTGTAAATCTAAAAATGTTTTGTAGCATATCCTTACAAACGGAAATGGATTTAATACCACAATTTGGTATGAGTGATTTAAATGATCAGGAATTGATTGCCATTAAAGAGTACCTGCGTGATGCTTTTCGTTATCGTTATCATCCCTTTAAACACTTGAATGAGCGCATAACACACTGCTTCTATCGTTCTTATGGTTGTTGGAAAATTAAACCAACTCCCTTATTGGCTCAACAGGCCATGCGTGAGTGGGAGTCTATTTCTCAAAGAGTTTATAAATTCATACGCCGTCTATTTCCCGCTTTGCCAGAGGAATACTCTGTAGTGGGAGAAAATCGTGAAGTTGTCTCTCACATAACTCTGCTCTATCCCATATTATTATCGGAAGGCATATATTCCACACTATTTGTGCTGTATGCCAACAAATACAGTCATAAGGATGAAATTTATCGTCAGAATCTATTGCAGGCGGAAAAACTAAATGATAATGACTTAATGCAATATTTAGAGTTCGATAGGTATGTTGGCATTCGCTCTCTAAAAGGACAATTAATTTATATTATCTTTTTTCTTTAGTAACATCCTGTTGGTGGTAAATACAGATACGTTTTTAGAAGCCATTAAAATGCTAAAGGAACTGAAAGAAAAATACACACCAATGGCCATGTTGACCGTGATAGAAAACTGCATGGAAAAAATAACTCTAGCATATCAAACTATATCCAGTGGTAATAAGTGAAATATTTAAAACAAAATTTTTAAACATATAATTCTATTAAAATTTTTATTTATTACAGCGACTAAAATCAGTTTAAATGCTGATCTGATAATGCCTTTATCTTTAATATTATTGCTGCGTGCAGCAATACCACATCTTGGTGCTGAGCTGGCTTTATTAGATGACTTGACCGATTGTAAAAATTTTCAATTTGAAATGAACGGTATTCGTGGTTATTGTTATACCACCTTAAAAGTATGTTATTACTATTGCTACCTTAAATTTTCCTTAATTAAATGTTTTTTATCCATTTTTCTAGGCTTCATATGAACACATTGCTACCAAAACCCTATTCGAAAAGAAGTAGAACATTATTTGCTCAATTTTTAAGTTTTAGTTAATGATCAAGTGTAAAGTGTGCGGATAGTGCGAAAGTATTTCGAAAGTTATGTATGTGTATATCTGTATTTATCTATAAGTAATTATTATTGTAATTTATTATAATAAAAATCTGTATTACAGTTGATGTTGTTATTCCAAAGAATTTGTTTGCAATACTTTTTTGATGCTAATTTTGTATGATCAGGGAAACCAAAAATATGCTCTTCAAAACTGTTTTATGTGCATTATATAAGTATTAAAAATACATTTACTTACTTACTTACTTACTTACTTACTTACTTACTTACTTACTTACTTACTTACTTACTTACTTACTTACTTACTTACTTACTTACTTACTTACTTACTTACTTACTTACTTACTTACTTACTTACTTACTTACTTACTTACTTACTTACTTACTTACTTACTTACTTACTTACTTACTTACTTACTTACTTACTTACTTACTTACTTACTTACTTACTTACTTACTTACTTACTTACTTACTTACTTACTTACTTACTTACTTACTTACTTACTTACTTACTTACTTACTTACTTACTTACTTACTTACTTACTTACTTACTTACTTACTTACTTACTTACTTACTTACTTACTTACTTACTTACTTACTTACTTACTTACTTACTTACTTACTTACTTACTTACTTACTTACTTACTTACTTACTTACTTACTTACTTACTTACTTACTTACTTACTTACTTACTTACTTACTTACTTACTTACTTACTTACTTACTTACTTACTTACTTACTTACTTACTTACTTACTTACTTACTTACTTACTTACTTACTTACTTACTTACTTACTTACTTACTTACTTACTTACTTACTTACTTACTTACTTACTTACTTACTTACTTACTTACTTACTTACTTACTTACTTACTTACTTACTTACTTACTTACTTACTTACTTACTTACTTACTTACTTACTTACTTACTTACTTACTTACTTACTTACTTACTTACTTACTTACTTACTTACTTACTTACTTACTTACTTACTTACTTACTTACTTACTTACTTACTTACTTACTTACTTACTTACTTACTTACTTACTTACTTACTTACTTACTTACTTACTTACTTACTTACTTACTTACTTACTTACTTACTTACTTACTTACTTACTTACTTACTTACTTACTTACTTACTTACTTACTTACTTACTTACTTACTTACTTACTTACTTACTTACTTACTTACTTACTTACTTACTTACTTACTTACTTACTTACTTACTTACTTACTTACTTACTTACTTACTTACTTACTTACCTTACTTACTTACTTACTTACTTACTTACTTACTTACTTACTTACTACTTACTTACTTACTTACTTACTTACTTACTTACTTACTTACTTACTTACTACTTACTTACTTACTTACTTTTACTTACTTACTTACTTACTTACTTACTTACTTACTTACTTACTTACTTACTTACTTACTTACTTACTTACTTACTTACTTACTACTTACTTACTTACTTACTTACTTACTTACTTACTTACTTACTTACTTACTTACTTACTTACTTACTTACTTACTTACTTACTTACTTACTTACTTACTTACTTACTTACTTACTTACTTACTTACTTACTTACTTACTTACTTACTTACTTACTTACTTACTTACTTACTTACTTACTTACTTACTTACTTACTTACTTACTTACTTACTTACTTACTTACTTCCTTACTTGCTTACTTACTTACATACTTAATTATTGCAAAATTATCCTGCTAATGTTATCAATAATAAGTTCACTCCAAATTCTTTTCGCTTCGGTCTTACTTTAAACAAAATGAATTGCGTTGCCAACTTATACATTCATAAACAATTAGTTGTTGTAAGTGATTGTATAACTCACACACATTTGTTATTGTTGATTTTTTTTGTGATGACATCAAATTAAAAAAAATTATTTATTTTTTAAATTAATTTAATTACATCGGAAAAAAACAAAAAACTTTAAAAAATGTTAGAGTTCTGCCAGAAAAAACACATGTTACTCGGCCTTGGCCTATTAGTTACCACAACAATTGTAGTGTTAATACTGGAATCCCGGTTGGCCACCACCGGACCAATGCGTCGCGGAAAGTCACAACAGTTTGTTATCGAAAACAATTCAACCTGCTGGAAACGTGAGGAATATACGGTGATACAGGAATGTCATAAATGTTCAGACTTTGATATTGTCAGCCGAAGCTTAGGTGTTTGCATACATACAAAATACAAGGAGGTACTGAGATGCAAAAGCGGTGAAATTGTTACCAAAAGTTGTGACCGAGTGGCCTTGATCGATCAACGACATTTCATACAATTCGAGGTGTGGTGCTTTGTTATTGGCATTATAAGTTATTTAATATCATATGCCCGTGATCGTGTATTATCGAGGAGGACCCATCAAAAGCTCGAACGACAATTAAATCGTGTAACGTAGATGACGACTCATTATTTAAGACGATATTTAAATTAGTTTTAAAATAAACTTAATTTTAATCAAATACTGATTTATATTGTAGTTTTAATATTTAGGAATATAATGAGAGTCCAATGCAGCTTCAGATTGTAAACAAAATAAGTTCAAGTGTGAAACTTTAAAAAAAGTTTCAATTTCACTTTAAATAGTAAATTAATTTAATGAAATTTTCCTACTAAATTGCTAATGAAAACAAGTCCACAATTGTATTTTATTTAAATAAACATTTTATTCGATATGAACTATAATAATTAAGAGATTCACTGTTTATATTGCCATTTAATATTACTAAAAATACAATTACAAAATTTCATTGCTACTAAACTTGATATTGCTTCATAAATAAACATAATTTGTATTTTAAGTAAAACACTCTTTTATATTTAATGCAATCAATAAACAAATGAAATCTCTTAACGATAATATTGTAATATTAGTATAATTTATAATAAACTTCAATAATAATAAAAATTAATAATCATAATAATTGGTTAAAAACTACAAACTACTTGGAATAGGTTGTGATTAAAATTGGCAAAATTGAACCAAAAAGAATTTTTTAAAGAACTAAAGGCACTTCTCTATTATTTAATGTTTGTTGTTTTGTAATGATGTTCCTTGACACCATAGTCAAGTAAAACACATACAATTACGGTTTTCACATTAATCCCTCAAAAAATTTTGTAATAATACTCTAGAATTGTATAATGCAAAAAATGAACACATAAAAATTGACAATATTCTTTTTGATTCGTAATTTTTAACCTATTTTTATTACTTTTTTGTAAAGGATATGGAATGTTTGGTAGTTTTGGGTTTTCTTGTTGTTAATTAAGTACTCCAGCTTAAGTATTTCTTGCTATGTGTCTATATACAACTTGATATTCATTCGATTTAATTTACTTTCTCCAATTGGAAATCAAATCTGGTTCAGAGCTATCCATTGTGTTAGTTGAAGGGGGTAAACTTTTAAATTCACCTACTTTGCCTGCTGTGTTTGTAGTGGTGTTGTCTTCATGATCAAGTTCGCTATCAATTTGACTGGTATTTGCAGAGTTGGTTTTAAGTGATGTATCCGTCATTGGCAGGGGTTTGGCTACCCCTATGCGCACCACGCCCTTGGCAGCACCCTTCAAAGCCTGTACCGCCTGATCCAAGGTGGCATTTTCCAAGTTAATATTATTAACAAATAACAAACGATCTCCTGGTATTAAACGTCCATCTAATTGTGCTACTCCGCCCGGCACTAAAGAACGTATAACAATTAAACAGTCATTTGAATCCATGGGATCTTGATAGTCCAAAATGGAAAAGCCCAAACCACGATCACCCTTAATTAGCTCAATTATTTGAGGCTCTGATGACCACATGGCCAAACCGGTGAGAGGTTCTAACGATCTAGATTTAAGTTTAAACGAATCCTCATTTGTTGGCGATGTAGTTGCTAAATTGCCATCCGATTTAGCTTTAACTAAACGATCTGAGGCCGGCACTAGATTTTCGAAATTGTTGCTCAATTTCTGCAGAGTATCGTCAGAGAAGGACATCAATTCAGTTTTGCTGCGACCACAAACCATGCGTACATCCTGTGGTAATTCTTTCAAAATAGCAACAACTTCTAAATGATTCATGCCGAATAGACGTTGTCCATTAACTTCCAGTAGTTCATCACCAGCTCTTAATTTTCCATTAACTCCCACAGGGCCATCAGCCAATATCGAACGTATATAATGATGAGGTCTTACTTCACGTCCGCCTTCTACATCAACAGTGCCCTCTAGTGATATACCTAAACCACCAACTGGGAACTTTTTAATTTGAGCCACTATAACATCAACATCCGGGCCTACATTTTTCTTCCATTTGCGTATAATTTCTTGTTCAACATCGGCTGTAAGTTCGGGATCTGTGTAATACTTTTGGCGTGTAAGGAGAATATTATTTTTGGCATGCAAGGGTTCCTAAAAGAAGTAGTATAAGAGTAAGACAATGGAATAGGATTGTTTATTTAAAAATTTTCATTTCCACTTACCATTAAGTCGTGTTGTTCAGATTCTGGTGCAGACAAAATATCGGATGTAATAATTTTAGTTGGCTGTTCATCGTGCAACGAAATAATGTTTTTATCAACTCCAAAGGTAGACAAATTTGTAGTAGTTGTAATGGTGCTACTAGTATTACCCGAAGTCAAAGTAAAGCTCTCCGGTTCAGTGGCAAAAATATTTACTTCATTCGAAGGTAATGTTTCACGTCCCGATAGGAATGACAAATCTGTAGTGGCTGTGGATGAGCGCATAGGTGTTATAGAACTGGAGGGTAAATGTGCTGTAGTACTGCGTGAGGGTGTAGAGGGGACAGATGGAATCTTATCGTTAGCTGCTATAGCTTGTTGTAACTGCTCATATTTGGGTCCTCGAAGATAACGCTCTAAGCGTAAATTTACCACCTGACCTGATTGTTTAAGAAGTTCAACTGCTTGATGATTGGAAAAACCTTGCAGTGACTGACCATCTACCTCAATAATACGATCGTTGACGCGTATACGTCCATTAAGATCAGCAGCTGAACCGGGAGAAACACTTTTCACAAAAATTCCGGACAGTTCTTCTTTTTCACAGACATAGCCAGCAATGGTTATACCCAAACCATTGGCATCTTTGGTCAATTCAACCTGTAATTTTTCGGTTTCTGGCAATTCCAGCAAATCGATGATGGGTTGTTTGCCACGATAAACAAAACGCTCATCTTCGGTTGTCGTCTGCGGAGTGGAAGCATTTGAGCTTTCACCAAATATTTCCGGGTAACCAGTTGATATTAAATAACGCTCAAGTTCTGCTCTATCTACCAACACACGGGCTGGAACAACTGCACTACCAGGATCTAAGCTAAGGCCAATAGGTGATGGATGTTCAATAGCACGTCCCACCACCAAGCGCACATGGGTACCAGATTGTCTTAGAACTGTAGCTACTTGCTCGGACACCATTTCTTGTAGATTAACATCACCAATTTGTAAGATATGATCTCCAGAACGCAAACGACCATCTCTGTCAGCAACTCCACCAGGCAGTATTGTTTTAACTATTACACCCGAAGTCCTAGCACCAATAATACCAAATCCCAAGCCAGTGCCATCATTAACCAATTCTATAGCCTGTATTTGAACATAATCCGTGGGAAATAGTTCAACTCCAGATAAAGAAGGCATTTTGGTATGCTGTACCAACGAGGGATCAACAGCATCGGCAGCTGCTTTGCTGCTACCCGGACTGTTAGGTCCCGAGGCACTGTTCAAAGGCGTAGAAAGACGCTCATCAAACTCATACATAACATCGCCTCCATTAACACTCAAAACCAAGTTACCAGCCATATCAATGTCGAAATCATTAGGCAGCATCGATGGGTGCTGTGTCAATTGAGCATTTAGTTCTGATAACGAATCTTGAACATGAACTATTGTTCTAAACACTGGATCCTGCAGCAGATCCAATATAGTCTTAAGACTATCTCCCGTTTGCGACTGCAACTTTGGATCGTCAATTTCATCAATGCCCCTTTTGACAGCCTCAATTTGCTGTAAAGCACTAGATATATCGGCACTTAGATGCATCTCGGCTTTTGTTTTTTTTTTTTTCTTTCGAAATTATTCAGGCGTGACACAAATAATTTTCACTTTTATTAATTGGATTATCGAATACCAAAAAAATCTTTTCTTTCGACGACACCACCCACTTTTTTCTTTTGTTTACCAAAATTCCTCGTGAAATAATTACATTTACTTGCAATAGTTTTTGTTTGATTGGTAAGAATTTAACATTTTTCTTTTACTTGCGTTAGGAATATTATCCTGTTTTTGTTTTCTAATGTTATGGAATGTCTAATGTATTTTTTATTGCTAATTAATGACTTTTTGCAATGGAATATTTGTGTCAAGTAAATATTTTTAATATACCTGTATTCACTGTTGCCAACTTTTTTCCTAAAAAAAACGTTAAAGTCCCCTGAAAAATACCTTGCCCTGCAGTTACACGTTCATGTTATTCACTCACAGTGCTTATAGAAGTTTTTGATGCTACAATCGTGTGACCACAAAATAATGTACAGGATGAAAATTTTGACATATAAAATGGCCTAAAATTAAGATTTGTTTTTGAAATGGTTTTGGTTGAATAGATTTATGTATATACGTTACATGGGAAGGATTTGTCATTCTGTTAATCTGTATGGCCACTCGTCAAAATGTTGATAAACATTTTTTTATGAGCTAGTAATATGTATCTGCAATCATTGATGTAGAAGAAACATAAACAACACATACACAAATTTTGACGTGTGGCCATTCAGCTTTAAAATTGTTTCCAATTCAGTGTAGATGTACGCTATTTTTGTTTACCAAGCATAACATTATTAATCGCTAATTTGACAACTGTATTGAAAAATCAACATTAAATGCTACCAAGTTTTTGTTTTTTGTAAAGTGCCTTGTCTGCAGTGTAGCCAGATTAGGGAAGTTTTTATAGTAATTGGGGATATATGTATTAGGGTTCTATAAATCGACTTTGTCGAAAAAAGTCGAAAAGTCGAAGTCGACTATTTTGTTCCAAAAAAGTCGATAACTCGACTATCGTCTATGAAAAAGTCGACTTTGTAAATAAAAGTCGAAAAGTCGGAAAGTCGAAAAAAGTCGAAAAAAGTCGATAAGTCGAAAAAAGTCGAAGAAAGTCGAAAAAAGTCGAAAAGTCGGAAAAAGTCGAAAAAAGTCGAAAAGTCGACAATACTCTAAAATAGTCGGAAAAACTCGAAAAAAGTAAAAAAATAGTCGAAAAAAGTCAAAAAGTCGAAAAAAGTCGGAAAAAGTCGAAAAAAGTCGGAAAAATTCGAAAAGTCGGAAAAAGTCGACCATTTATAAAATACTAAAAGTCGACTTTTAAATAAATGAAAAAGGTCGAAAAGTCGAAAAATCGACTTTTCATAAAATGGAAAAAGTCGAAAGGTCGAAAAGTCGACTTTTCGTATTTGTATTAGAAACATATTATCCGTTAAATAAACATGGCAAAAACGATTTTCACAGTTTTTAAAATTTTTCAATACACTTCTCAATATAAATTTTCGAGATCATATCGCATATGGTATAGCTTGCCTCGGGATTTCCAAGAGTTTTGTACAAACTAGTTTTTGAAAAGAATTTTTGAACGGAAGATATTTCCAAAAACAAATCTTTTGTAATTAAAATTTTGACGTGTTTTGACACTTACATGCTTAGGACCAAAGTATTTAAAGTGTTTTAAGAAAACTGAATTTTTAAATTAATATTCGTTCTCAAGACTGGTTTTATTTACATATTTATCAATTTTTTTTATTTCATATACATATTTGAAAAAATTTTTAACATGAATATTTCCGAATTGGATTATTATGCTATTTTAAATGTGCCGAGAGATGCCAGTAAAGAAGAAATTACTCTGGCATATAGAAAATTGGCAGTTCGTCTTTGTCCATTTCGTGACAAGAATCATCAAAGAGATTTTGTGCCATTATCACAAGAATCCCAAGTTACTCATATGTCTCCACTATCTCTAAATCGTCAATGGAACTATATTAATATGGCCTTTGATGTTCTAGGTAAATTCAATGGTAGATTTAATTTAATTTCTCATAAAAAATTTCTTTTCTCTTTGCTAGGTAATGATCTTTATCGTACTATATATGATCGCTACGGTGAGGCTGGTCTATTTCAAGGTATTCTCTTGCCCAATGGATATTTTCCACCCTACCAATACCACGGCAATCATATGAAGGTTTATCATACCGTTTTTGGTTCCTATTCTCCTTATGCCAATATCATTGATGCATTAACCACACCACCACCTTTGTGTTCGAATAAGGAGACCGGAGGAATTGGTGTGCGAACCAAAGACAAAGCTGTTGAAAAGCTGGTGGAATTGACTTTGGAGGAGGTGTACAATGGATGTGTGAAAATAATGCAAGTATGGCGTCAGGAATTTGTCGATAGAGAAGAAACACGCACGGAGAAAAGAAAAAAGTTATTGAAACTTAACATAGAACCAGGTGTAACGGCCGGTACACGGTATTGCTTTAAAGAAGAAGGAGATCGCTCGCCCACTACCATACCGGCTGATATAATATTTATAGTAGCCGACAAGCCTCACAACACATTTAGAAGGGAGAATTTACACGATCTTGTCTATACCCTAGAAATAGATTTATGTCAAGCTCTTATAGGATTTCAATTCGTTGTTAATAGCTTAGATAAGCGACAACTAAAAGTATGTATTAATGATGTAGTAAAGCCTGGATATGTTAAAGTATTGCCTTGTGAGGGTTTACCTAAATGTAAAAGCAAAGATGCGGCACTGGCCTTAAAACCTCAAGGATTTCAAAACAAAGAATTCGGCAATCTTATCATAGAATTTAAAAGTATTTATAGTTACATATTTCTTAACAAATTATAATAATTATTTTATTTAAAGCTAAATTCCCGGACTATTTAAATAAGGAAATGAAAAAATGCGCAAGGAACTTCTTTACTGAGTTGCAAGATCTACAAAAGGAAGAGACAGAAAAGAAATCACGGCCAAATTAAGATAAATATTGTGTAAATTTATTGAGTACAAAAATTTATTGGCATTTTAAACGGAATTCATTTATTCAATGAACTTCGTATAAATATATAAATTTCACGCTGAAATTAAGAGTTATTGATTAAAATAATTGTTATTTACTTCTTGCGATTTTGAATACTTCTTAACTTAATATACAGTAAATAATCCATCAGTTTAAACCATGTAACGTTATACATTTAAATATCGAAGAAGTTATTTGTTTTTGTGTTTTGTTTAACATGACACTTAATGTATATGTGTATATAAGTTACTGTAATAGGGAGGGACCACTACGCTTGTTTTTATATTAACCAAAAATTAATAATAATAATAATGTGAATGTTAGTGTTTTTTGAATTTGTCTACGGAATAATGTATAATAATGTGTAAAAAATAATAACCATAGTTTTTTGTCAATTTTCAATTTCATTGAAAATGCAACGGTATTAAAAAAAGAAACTGAACTTATTGATAATTCAACTAATGTATCGATATACCCGCAAATGAAACCTCTAAGCCCACATCATTCGATTCCATGCGACTTTTTATATGGGCCAAAGTGTTTTTATAATGCATTTCAATTTGTTTAGTTTCTTCGCTGGTTTCCAAATTAGGAAGTTCCTCATTGATTTTAGCAATTAGCTAAAAGTCATAATTGTTCACCATAACAAGAAAAATTCAATATAAATGATAGATTTTAGTTTAAAAAAAAACCGGAAAAATAAACTTACCTGGTTGAGCATGGCAACTGTTATTAAAGAATTACCACGTTCAAAATAGAACAAATAATGATTAAGTAGCTCTACATATAGTTGCACTTGAACACCTATGTCTAAGCACTGTGAAGCAATACGTGCTCCCTTCTTTAAACAATCCAAAGTCTTCTTTTCATCACGCATTTCTTCGCCATTTTTTCTATTAAATATAAACAGAATTTAAAAATAATAAGAAAAATTTTTAAAATTAATTTTATTGGTGCCACATACTTGCCACTCCAGAAGAGGGCAGCACAAGCCACTACACCTCTACATTGATCGGGTTTTTTAAGCAATTTTGAAGCAGCTAAAGCACAGTTAGTTCTTAAAGGATCGGCGTTTTCCTCGCCAAAGCAGGACATTTGTTCGAAAGTAGACATTATTAAAGTAATAGCCGCCAATTGGGCTTTAGAATCTGAGATTTCATCTTCGTAGAGGGAAAATGCTTGTGTCATAAACTCATAGGCTACGGTCTCATGATTTGTATAACCGATTTCACCAATGACCAAAGCGCCTTGAAGATATAGCCTTAAAGCTAACTCCGCTAAATCGGCCTTAGCCAAAGCCGATACAGTGCTGTGACAATATTGTATAATCTTTTGACACTTCTTATCCCAGTTCTCATCTTCCTCAGCCTTGGCCTTATATTTATAAGCCAGTTGGTAGGCTGAGAACACTAGAGGTGGTAGAACATGTTTAATACGTTGTGCTCCGCCAGCACCCAAGTGTTTGCGAGCTGATTGCAATATCTTATACTGCATATCGGGATCCTCGGATCTGAGCAGGTGTATAAAACGTGCCACTATACCTTGTTCTTCAGCAAATTCATCGGGATCTACCGATGGTTCCTGTCCATTTTTAGTCACAACAGTTTCATCATCTTTAATTAGAGGAGTTATTATATTTAAAACTGCATCAGCCTGTTCCGCTGTGGGTATTAATGTTTCATATTCCAAAACATTCATGAGTAAATATAAAGCCAATGTTTTACGAGAAGTGTAATCAAATTTCTCCAGTAAAGGACAGAAATTGTTCAATTGTATAACAGTCAAAACATTGTTGTAAAAGTCAATGCAAATGCGCAAGAGGCGGGAGAGCTCCTGATTAACCGATAACAAGTGAGAAATACTGCAAGAAGAGCGAGAAAGTTATAATATAACAAATTTGATTGATCAATTAAAGGGAAAATCGTACTTGTTCATTTCGAGACATTCCAAAATCTTAGTTGTTGTGCCTAATACTTTATCCACATAATCAACACGATCTGGATAAACTTTTTGAGCAAGGCTTAATAAAGCAACTTGCAATGATATGGTGTCTTCCAAAGGCATGTCGGAGCGAGTCTAGGGAAATTAATTTAACGGATGTTAAGGTTAAGTTTGTGTAGTTAAAGTAACAGCTTACCTGTACAATATTGGCCACTTGAACGCTAAATACTTCAAAGAGTTCTACTTCTGGCGGTATAATAGATTCAATATCAGTGCCATTGTTCTGAAGTTAAAGAGGGAGGATAAACTATATATAAAATAAAATATTTATTGTTTACATTACCTTTCCACTTCTTTGATTGTAGGTGGCCAAGCGATCAATTAAACATATTATTATGTTCTTAACATTTACACCGGTCTGCAGTTGGGCACAAGACTTTAGGAAAGGATCCAAAGTTTGCAAATGAAATTCATCCGGAAATACTTGTATAATACATTCCATCAAGTATTCCTGGGCTATGGCATCACGACAGCTCACTACTTGTTCTAGAATGCCGGGTAATATTAAACGTTGATAGATCTCCAGAGAGGCAGATTCCAATTGCGATAAACGCACCAAATTGGTACCAACCAAAATTTTCAATTCTTCACGTTCTTTTTCACGACGAGTCTTTTCACTGGAATGACCCTGATGTTGCATGCGTACCCATAGTTTATTCATTTCGGCAAAATTGGTCAATACAAAGTCGATGGCATCATAAACATTGCCCTCGTGTTCATTGTCGGCCACTAAAACATCGGGTAAAATATTACGAGTACATTGCAACAGATAATTGCGTAAAAATAAGCCGCGCAAAGGATGTTGTACACCACGACACATTTCCACCAGATCCTTCAGAATGCTGCGCTTCAGGGAACGATCATTCTTAATGTACACAATACCGACAGTAATAAGCAAATACAAACGGGGCACTATAGTGTGCGAATACTGAACCAGCTCGTAAAGATCCGTTTCCTTTGAAGCCTTCTCACTCAAGTACAACTCCAAATGACATAATTCATCGGTGATCACCATATCTGCAAGAGATTTACATAGGAATTAATCATTTTAAACATGATTTCATAATGATCGTACTTACACAATTCATAATAACTTTTGGGCGACAACATGGATGTACGTAATTCACTTAACATAGCGCTGGCACATTTCAATGCATCCAGCATACGTTCCTTGTCCAAAAAATGATTCATTTGAAATGCCTGCTTGCGAGCAGAACTAATGGCCTCGGCCAATAGTTTCTCCTGATCGTCAATGCTATTCGGCATGGTCTGCAAAAAAGAAAACAAAAGTTAATGTTTACTATGCAAAATATATTTATTAAACCATACGTATGATAGAATGTTTGTTGTTGATGATGATGATGTATAATATCAATAACGTTTGTTGATATGTTTGTATATATTATATTTAATTTAATACTAATATTTAGCAAAAGTGCTTATGTGTGTTTTTAATGCTTGTAGTGGCTATTATCGAAACCAGCACTAGTATGAGATATGAGTGTACACATAAGAAAAGGAAAACTAGTATGAAAGTATATTCGGACATGTTCGACCATATGATACCCTACACCAGCTAGGAGTGAGATTTTAAGTTGAGTGCTCAGTAGTATTATTTCCTCATTTTTTAAATCTTATTTATATCGATTTTATTACAATATTAATATGTAATCTACAACTGTTGGATTCAATATGGACTGAACTCTATAAAGTTTAATAGAGAAATATCAAAGAATAATTATTAAAAGAATACCCATCTCGACGAGCGGGTTGTTTCGATTTACCCCCATTTTTTTTATGTATCACGACCCGCTATTGAAAATTGATCTTGTATAATACGCACATTCTATGCATTAAAAATTCTTTGGTAATATGTACATGACTTATTTTAATAACATATTTAAGTATAAGTTCTGAGATAATCTTTTAAAGATGCGTAATCTTTAAAAAGACTCAGAAAGTGATTTTTATCTGAGGGTTATACATAGATTAGCAGATTAGCACAAACGCATAATACAATAGTGGTGTAGGGTATAATAAGTGCTTTATGATATGTGTGTATGATTGTAAATGATGTCAATGGGTGGTGTATGAAATGCATTTGCCATTTGCTGCCTTACAAAAGAGTGAAAATAGACTTAAGATTGTAGTGTATATTGACCAAAACCGCAGTATTATTATAGTTGAAAATAAGCTTTAGGAGTTAATGAGTAAAACAAAGCCTAAAGTTCTAAATAGAAAGAATTACCATTGTACCAACACCACCTGCTACCGGTGAATAATTTGCGGAACTCCAAGGATACATTTTGCCGCTAAGTTAATAGTACCTAAAGATTTTTCGTTCTCACTATTAATATACGGCTAAAATATTGCAGTAAATTCCTTTTCAAAGTGGCTGCTGTGTTCCAAATTCTTTTTTTTTTTTCTTTGGATGTTAAACAACAAATGTCGGTATGTTTGTTTCGGGCGAGTTTTTCTTTTTTTTTCTATTGAATCTTGTGATTATTTTAATTTCCTTGAGTTATTTTAAACTTACCATAGTAGGAATGAATTTGTTTTATAAGATTTATTTAAATATTGCAAGTCAATTCCAATTTATTTTTAATAAAAAATTAAGGCGTTAATTGGGAATTTTTTCTCTCTGCTTATCGGTTTTACAAATTCTTTTGTGATGCTTCTTCGTTTTGTCAAACTGTTTGTCAAAATGATGACATGTACTATTTAGGGTTTCTATAGATGAAAAAACTGCTGTTAGACTTTCTTGAATTTTTGAAAAGTTGACCTTACGATTTTATGAAAATTTTACTTTTCAACTTTTAACAGTTTCTAAAATGTCGACTCTTCGAACTTTTTAATATCAACTTTTCGACCTTTTTTGCAACGGTCTCAGTTTCCTACCAGCGATTGAAAATCAAAATGTTTTGGAATTTGATTTGGTCGATTACAGAATATATTAGATTATTATAGAATTTATATGCACTAAAAGTCGTTTTGTGGATGTGAAATATGAAATTTGTATTTTTCCCCCGAAATAAGTTCAAAATTACCAAATTTTTGGAAACATTTCGAAAAGATTGTATAATTTTTTTTCAATTTGGTCTAGCTTTACGGAATCAGGGTTGCATTTGTTAAAAAGGGAATTATTAGAGAAATAAAAAACGCTTTGACGTTTTCTCTGCTAAAATAGTAAATAATTCTGACATCCCTAGTCAAATATTATTCCACTGTAAATGGGAGTAAATTTTTGATATGGCAGCATTAATTTATTGTTTACATTTGAACGACAAATATTTTTAATACGGCAATATTTTATTGTTTACATATAAAAAAAAAATAAATAAAAATCTATTATATTTAATTTATACGAATATTATAATTAATAAAACCATGGATTTAAATACAAAAATTATTGAAGGTGTTAGACAATTTCCCACGTTATATGATGACAAAGGGAATTTGGATGAAAGGAATCAAGCATGGATGCAATTGGCCGAGAAATTAAAAATGCACGGTAGGATAAGAAAATTGTATACATAAAAAACAAAATGCATTTTCCTTGTTTTATTTCATACTTAGAAGTATATTTAAAAATTCGTTGGCATAGTCTGATGCAAGCATATCAACGTAATATGAATTTCAAATATGCTAACAACATGGATTTCGTACCACGCATTAAGGAGACACATAATAAAGGAGAAAACTGGCCGGAATTCATAATAACAGAAGAAGATTTAAAGGAAGACCGAAGCGGCCAAGAACAAGAAGAATTTGTATTCTTGGAAATAGATGAAGAAGACTCCAAAGTTAAAGAAATGCCAAAGGCAGCTGTTAAGGAAAAGGCAGCAGAAAATTCAAAACAATTGGAGGAGACACCGAATGTTGAGTTAAAAAACAATGACTTGGAACAAAATGTTTATAGAATACAAAATATTGAAAATTTAAATGAGGAAAAAGCAACAAAAAATGTTGAAGTTAAAGAAAATGTAGCAGTTAAACCAAAGGAGTGTGACAATGGCACAACCACAACTACCAAAGTGGAAGAAAAAATGGCAGCAGTTAATGTTAATAAAGAAAATGATCAAGTTAGTAAGGAAACTAAAGAAGTGGCCATAGATAAATCTCACATAAAAAATGAACGCTGTGAAGATGCCATCTTTGGAGAACTTGTATCAGCCACATTAAAGCGTATGGATGAAGATAAGAAACGGAATATTAAAAAAGAAATAATGAATCTTTTATTTTCCTAAGCAAAAGGTTTTCAAGAATAAATGCGCACATACATACATATTTTAACAAAATTTTTGACTATTATTTACAAAATCTATAATTTGCAAGGTTGTTCGGTCAACTTTCTCAAAAAGTCGATTGATGATTGTTCGAAAGTCTATTTAAAGGTGTTATAGTTGTGCATCACTGCAGAAATAAGTACAAAATTGCATCACTTGGCAGCACTGAATTTTTTTACAAAGCAAATGGCAGTACTGCCGCAAATTTTTGCAAACGACGACATTTTAGTTTTCGATGCAATTTTGTAGAACAAATAAGCTAAAATAGATGACAATAAATTATACATTGAAATGTATGATGTTAAAATGGAGAGGTAGTGGCCATTAAACAATAATTGTTAGACATTAAATTAAAATAAATATTTACATTTTTAGTTCCGACGAAGATGTTGCATTTAGCACGACTCTAGAATTAATAATAAGAACCCGGCTGGACATGGAACCAGAGTTCCAGGAAGGAAGAAAAAAGAAAACCATCTTATGGGAAAGGGTACTGTCAAAAATTAAAGAAACTCAACCGGATTTTAAAATGACAAAGGATCAAATAAACCGTAAATTTTTAAATTTAATGACAACTTATAGACGAATAAAAGATCGTGGTAGTAAGACAGGTCGAAATGCTACTTCCTGGGAATATTTCAAAATGTTTGATGAAGTTTATGGTAAAGGATACTGTGGAAAACCACCACCCTTAAGAAATTTGCGGAAAATTTATGATCCCTACATTAAGGAAACTAAAGAAGTGGCCGTTGAAAAACCTCAGCCAAACATACTACCAACGCCTAGTGAGCGCTGTGAAGATGTTATCTTTGGTGAACTTGTATCAGCAATGTTAAAGCGTATGAATGAGGATAAGAAAAAGCATGCGAAAAAAGAAATAATGAATCTTTTATGTTCATAAGTATTAAAATATTATAAATTTTAACAGATTTTTTCTTAATAAAATGAATTTATTTTAAAGTTCTTTTTTTTTTGTATTTTGAAGTGTTTTAAACCGAATTGATATATAATCGATAATTTTTAAACATATCCAAATAATGAGGATTCTAAATATGGGGTTAAATTTTTAAATTTATTTCTTTATTTTTTTATTTAATCAAAAATTTTAAAATGTTTGTTCTAAAAAATTTTTAATAGTTTTAAAATTTTAATTTCAATTCGAAAATTTTAAAGAAAAAAAGGGAAATTTTCTCTTTTTTTATAGAAAATTTCCAAAAAATTTCTCTTTTTGATGAAAATTTCTATTTTTATAAAAAATTTTCGAAAAATTTTATTTTTTTAAGAAAATTACTCTTTCTCATAGAAAGTTTTACTAAAACATCTCTTTTTTATAGAAAATTTTCGTTAAATTTAAAAATTTTCTCTTTTATATAGAAAATGTTCGCACATTTTCACATTTTTATAGAAAATTTATCTTTTTTTAGATATTTATCGGAAAAATTCTCTTTTACAAAAATTTTTTTATTTTTTTATAGAAAATTTCTATAAAATAATTTAAAATCTATTCTTCAAAATCTTACCTTTTGCCCAAGTTAAATTAAAAATCATTTTTTAATTTAAATATGTAAATAAATTTTTGTGTATATTTATGACTACAAGTATCCAAAAAATGTTTCTTTTTTTAACGATAATTACATTTATAATAAATATAATAATAATAATTAATAATCATGAAAATACTGGACTCTAATTAAGGAAAAAACATTTTAATCCTACGAAAAATTCTTTTAATTGCAATTATTTTATTATTTATACTTAAAAAACATGGAAAAAAATAACAATTTGTTTATATGCTTCATTTTGTTGTTGTTTTGTTTAACTATAATTATATTTAATTCGGATTTTTTTTTAAATTTGCATAATATGCTTTCATACTAAAGGTATTACAAATATTTTTAGGTTTAACATTATTATTATTATTATTTTTTTTAAATAATGTTTTAAGGTGTTAATTAAATATTTTATTTAATTTTGTTTTATTATTAAATATGAAATTCCATTGTGCAGCATGTTGTATTTAAATTGTGTTATTATTTAAATATGTATAAATTTAAAACGACATTTACACGTAAAGTTTTCCTTTAATTTAAACACATGAAAGGTATTTTCACGTTTTTATTTTTTTTAATATAAATATTTATGCTGAAAAATACATGAAAAATTTGCCTTTTAAATGTTGTTTTGCTTATAAATCCGTTTCATTTATTTTAAAATTAAGTAATAATGGCTTTTGGTATATATTTTATTTATTTAATAATAAAATTATCTATATATTTTATATACGTTACGAATTTTATTTGTATAAAAAAATTAACAAATTAAAAACTTGAAATAAAAAACATCTAGTCAAACTCTATTGACCTTTATTATATCTCAAACTTCTACTTTATGTTCATCTATCTATAACAAACTTGAACTAAGTATTATAAACTTGTTTTGTAATACAATATGTTCTTTAATTGTTACTATCTAATAACTGGACCAACAAAGTACTACTATGTGTTGGTTTTATCAGTTTATGTTTAAATTTTTGGTGTTAAACATTTTTAACTTTTGATCATTAGTGTCAATTATTATTATTAATGTTTTTAATGGTCCCTTCATCTAAGAATTCTTTTTTATGTTTTTTTTGCTTTGAAAATGTAAAAAAAAGTTTAACAATAAATAATTAACCAATTGCCAATTTTTTTTGTATAAAAAAGCTTTTCTATGAGTTAAATTCAAAATAAATATAAAGTTTAGATTATAAACATCACTTTTAAATACTCGTCTTATTCTATTATAAAAACTTTAGTAACAGACATACAGTGTCTAACATTTATATGTATTTCTTTTACAAAAATTAACAAATAATTAAAATAAATTGTAGTTTTGAAAGTGTTGTATTTTTTTCAATACCTTTAAGTACAAAATTGATAAATGTTTGAAATTGGAAACGTATGGAGTCAATGATTTTCTTTCGAATTTGTCATTTGTTATGGCACAACAGAGTTTCCGAATAGGGACGATTGTCTGTGATCTGACAAACCCTTTAAGGGTTAAACAGTTTTTATTGACGGATCTAATATGAACACAAGCACTGGTGTCGTTGTGTATACTGATGACATGTACATATAAAGGTGTTTCATTCTACCCAAGGAATGTGTAGCGGAGCAATCTGAAAATCAACGGAACTGTTACGGTCTAAAGTCTTTTAGTGGCATTCTATAGAAGGGCACAGTATTGATATGTCATATGGGATATTTGTGTCTGGTTGTAGAATGTACAAATGTTCTAAGTGTTATCATGATACTGTTTGCAATATGGTTGTTTTGGGTACCAGAATACTACATGGAAATGAGTTAGGGAACGAACTTGACCTAAATAGAAGTGAAAGGACAGTAAATCCAACCTTCTGTGACTATTATAGAATGGTCTTCGAAAGATTCTGTTATATTTTCAACCAATACTGGAATAGTAAAATAGATTGCAATTGTACTGGGTAGATGTAGTCTAAGGGTTACGAAAGGAGTATTAACAAGGCATTGCTCAATAGGGACTTTTATGGGACAATACCATACGAAACATCTGCAGGTTATGCGATGCTATTGAGGAGCCAGAAACAATTGAGCAAATAATTTGGTATTGTTCTAAAACACAGATAAAAATAATAATAGATTCAAAGAAGAACTGGGAAATATTGTTATATGAAAGCCATGCCATCTATTAGCTTTCTGTCAATTGAAGGTTATATCTGAATCTAAATAATTTCGTGAACCAGATAAAGTCCCTCAGTCTAGCTCCAAACTTTTCTATTCGCATTGTTTTCATACTAAGGTTAAACATATATTCTTATGGGAAGAAGGGAACACAATGGACTACAATTGTTTCCGAGTTGAGTTGCATCTATTTGCTGTTTAGCCTTTCCTAACTTGTTCAAGGGATGCTTTAGAGAACATACTTATACACCTTCTTTAGAACAGTTCTAGAACTGGTTCTTTTTTTCTGTGATTTATGTTTGTAACTGTTAAGATAGAGAGAAAGCGCTGAGAAATTATCATTCTTGTTTCAGAGAGAGGGTTCCAGAAGTAATAAAAACATCACTAGTTTTAAGGTTGCTGTTCGAGAATCTGGAGTGGTTATGTTTAAACTTGATCTGGAAGTAGTTAATTCAGAAACTGAAGAAGATTAAACAATATCGATTCAAATTGGAATCATTCCAATCGGAATATGTAACAGCAGGTCTTATACACTTAAATCAAAAGGTTCAATATTGCATCCAAGATCATATTTAGGGTCAATTTCCGAATGTATCATATGGCCACAGACGTCTATGTTTTCATAATTTTTTAATAAATCGAAGTTAGACGAAGTTAGAACTAAAAAGCTTCTTCACTAATTTTTAAATAAATTAAAAATAAAACATAAATATTTTATAAATTTTAAACTGCACTGTATGTATGGAATGTGTGTGCATTTAAGGTTAACCATTTTATTAAAAGCACACTTTTCTAGGAAGAATTTTGACAACTTTTATATATGTATATATAAATATATATATAAAACAGATTTTACACTATACTTTAAATGAGCAATAATTTAAAATAATAAAAAACAACATAATTATTAAATATTAAATGCATATTTAATGTGCGATATTTTATTAAATAAAAAATAAACTTACAAATAAATTATTAATAAATAAATTTATAATTTATAGGTATTTAATAGTGTAATTTCTGTTAAATATACAATTAATCATAAATAAAAAACAATTGTTGTTCCTTAAGTTTTGTGTGTAATAATTACTTTTTTGTTTACAACAATTAAATTGGAATAAATTTATTTTAAATATTGCTTATTTTGCCATTTTTTTAAATACACGCGTTTTAGAACTCGTGACTTTTTTTTTTGCTTATTTTTATAAAATTCTTATATTTATTAAATAGCAAATATTTTGTAAATATTTGCTTAATTATGTCTTTTATATAATTTAATATATATTTACTTTTCATTCAAAAGGAGGGAAAATGGAGGGGAATTTTAAAAATTTTCACATTGACAACATTTAGATATTTTGAAAATACATTTAAAAAAAGAAATAATACATTCATATGTATGTTAGTTAGTTGTGTTTTCTTTAAATGGAATTTTTCTGATTTTTAACAAACATTTTTTTAAACATTTAATTATTATAAAAAATGTACTGTATATACGAGAGTTTTAATTATACAATATTTTAGCCTATTCATTCTAAAGTGGACCCATTTTCAACAAAATGTATGTATCTAGCTGTTTTAGTTGTTTTTTAGTTGCAAACCATAATTAATAGTTCAAATTTTACTCTAGTAAAACTTGCTATTAGCTTAACTTAAAGATAAAATAATTAAGTTAATCCTTTAGAATAAATTATAGACTAGAACATTCTTTTTTTCTTTGTAAAAATTAATGTTGTAAATAATACTTATTATCTTTGGGTTAAATTTTCCGCTAAAAATAAAGAATAAATAAATTTATAACGCTCATTTACAAAACATGTAAATTTTCACAGCTTTTTGATTTTGAATCTCGAGCCCAGACACGACCCAATAAACCTTTGACTTTTAGACTGGTAGATGTACGGGAACCACGATATTTACGGGGACTGAAAGTATATAGATATAAAAAGATAAATTTTGTTTTTTTTTTACCCTACAGCTGGATAACACTTACCTGCTGTGAGCACTGCCAGGTGGTGTGTTGACATCGGATATTATATTATTGGTGGGACCCATAGGTGTATTTGGGTTAGTGCCACCGGTTAAACAAGCTCCACTTAAAGGTGAACAAGCTCTTCTCTTGGATTTTCTAATAGAACGTTTTCTAAACATATCCCTAGTTTATTTTAAAAAAATAAAATTCTTTTGTATTGTTGTTATAATTTTAAACATTTTTATATAATTACCTAGATTTTTCGGGATTTTCCAATTTTAAACGTATTTGTGATAATAAACCCACCAATAATTCATCTACATTATGATTAATACCCACTGAAGTTTCTATAAATTTACAATCATATGCGGTCGCCATAGCTTTGCCCTCTGTAAAGAGAAATATATATATATTTTTAATTAGTAAAGTACATATATAGTCATTTAGTAGTTTAGGGATACTAACCTTCTGCACTCACTAGACGACTGCGTGCCAAATCGGCCTTATTTGCCACTAAAATTACCGCCTTTTGGGCAATATTTTGATTAGTCCATAATACTTGTAAAATATGTTCGGCCACACTGAAACTACTACGATCGGAGGCAGAATAGATAACACAATAACCATGTGGATCATAACTACTTAGGCAATCATCGGGCTAAGAGGAAAAAAGAAAAAAAGTTTAAATTTATCTTCCACTTCAGTCCTAGCTCAATTACAATTTTATTCTAGTTCAGTTCTAGTTTAGTTCTAGTTCAGTTCTAGTTCAGTTCTAGTTTAGTTCCAGTTCAGTTCTAGTTCATTTCTAGTTCAGTTCTAGTTCAGTTCTAGTTCAGTTCTAGTTTAGTTCTAGTTCAGTTCTAGTTCTAGTTCAGTCTAGTTAGTTCGTTCAGTTCTAGTTCTAGTTCAGTCATTCTAGTTCTAGTTCAGTTCTAGTTCAGTTCTAGTTCAGTTCTAGGTCAGTTCTAGTCAGTTCTAGTTCAGTTCTAGTTCAGTTTCAGTTCTAGTTCAGTTCTAGTTCAGTTCTAGTTCAGTTCTAGTTCAGTTCTAGTTCAGTTCTAGTTCAGATTCTAGTTCAGTTCTAGTTCAGTTCTAGTTCAGTCAGTTCTAGTTCAGTTCTAGTTCAGTTCTAGTTCAGTTCTAGTTCAGTTCTAGTTCAGTTCTAGTTCAGTTCTAGTTCAGTTCTAGTTCAGTTCTAGTTCAGTTCTAGTTCAGTTCTAGTTCAGTTCTAGTTCAGTTCTAGTTCAGTTCTAGTTCAGTTCTAGTTCAGTTCTAGTTCAGTTCTAGTTCAGTTCTAGTTCAGTTCTAGTTCAGTTCTAGTTCAGTTCTAGTTCAGTTCTAGTTCAGTTCTAGTTCAGTTCTAGTTCAGTTCTAGTTCAGTTCTAGTTCAGTTCTAGTTCAGTTCTAGTTCAGTTCTAGTTCAGTTCTAGTTCAGTTCTAGTTCAGTTCTAGTTCAGTTCTAGTTCAGTTCTAGTTCAGTTCTAGTTCAGTTCTAGTTCAGTTCTAGTTCAGTTCTAGTTCAGTTCTAGTTCAGTTCTAGTTCAGTTCTAGTTCAGTTCTAGTTCAGTTCTAGTTCAGTTCTAATTCAGTTCTAGTTCTTATCAGGTTATGTTCTATTTCTGTTCTAAATCACAAATAATTAACTCACCGTCATTTCGGCATATGGATGATCAATAAATATTAATTCCGATTCTTCGCCACTCAACAATACTGAAACAGATTTTTCACCCGAGTCATCATCTAAACATTAAATTCCAAAAGAAAACAAAATAAATACAATTAACTTAAATTTGAAATAAGCAAAAACATGAACATAGTAAAAACTTTATCAAGTGGAAAATTTGAAAAAAAATCAAATGAGAGAGAACAAAATAAAATAAACTGAGTGAATGTACGTGCAGTAACAAATTTCGAATTAATCGTTTAATAATAAAAATCTCTAAAGGAATATTTTATTATATAAATAAAGAAAATTGTGTTTATTAGTAGTATGTGTGTATTTAAATATATAATTTTATATAACATAAGGGTATGTATGTATGTGTGTATGCAATGGAAAAATTATATAAATGTGTGCGTTTGAATATCTGTCTGTCTGATTGATTAATAGATTGACTGATATATTTATATTTTTATTATGGATTGTATGTATGTATGTTTATGTTTATTTGTGTACGTTTGTATGTATTTGATTTTTATTATAAACAAAGGATATTATTAAATTTGTTCATATTACTTTTTTATTTATTCATAAATAACGATGCCAGACATAAATATCACATACATTTTGTTGCTGTTGTTTTGATTTTATTCGTTTTCAAAATTTAACGGTTGGAATAAAACCAAAATATGTACTTTTATTTGAACACAACAAAATATTAATGGGTAATAATGATGATGATGGTGATGTTTGTGGTGAGAAGGATGTTAACATGAAGAAGCTGTGAAAAGTGTGAGAGGCAAGTGTTTTGAAAAATGTAAAATGTATTTTAAGTTTTAGGATTTCAACTAGAACTTTTCAAAATTACAAACTGTTTCATTATTTCGGAAGTACTTATGTATTTATTACAAACAAGTAGATAGGATTATCTTTGAGGATTTATGTAAAAATTTTTATTTACAAGAATTCAGCAGAATCCAAAAAAGTTTAAATACTAGACTTCTGTCACTGAATTCCATTCTGATCGAAAGTTAAATTAATTCGGTCTTCAGAGTAAGTAAACAAACAACTTGTTCGGAATGTAATTTCAGTACTGTACCAGTTGATTTCTAATTCAGTTCTAGTTCTGTTCTACTTCGGTTCTAATTCAGTGCTAGTTCAGGCCTAGTTCAAGTTCAGTTCCAGTACAGTTCTTTCAGTTCTAGTTCGGTTCAGTTCTAGTTCAGTTTAGTTCAGTTCAGTTCTAGTTCAGTTCTAGTTCAGTTCTAGTTCTAGTTCATTCAGTTCAGTTCTAGTTCAGTTCTAGTTCAGTTCTAGTTCAGTTCTGTTCAGTTCTAGTTTCACTTCTAGTTCAGTTCCAGTTCGTTCAGTTCCGTTCTAGTTCAGTTCTAGTTCAGTTCTAGTTCAGTTCTTAGTTCAGTGTCTAGTTTCAGTTCTAGTTCAGTTCTAGTTTCAGTTCTAGTTCAGTTCTAGCTCTCAGTTCTAGTTCAGTTCTAGTTCAGTTCTAGTTCAGTTCTAGTTCTAGTTCAGTTCTAGTTCAGTTCTAGTTCAGTTCTAGTTCAGTTCTAGTTCAGTTCTAGTTCAGTTCTAGTTCAGTTCTAGTTCAGTTCTAGTTCAGTTCTAGTTCAGTTCTAGTTCAGTTCTAGTTCAGTTCTAGTTCAGTTCTAGTTCAGTTCTAGTTCAGTTCTAGTTCAGTTCTAGTTCAGTTCTAGTTCAGTTCTAGTTCAGTTCTAGTTCAGTTCTAGTTCAGTTCTAGTTCAGTTCTAGTTCAGTTCTAGTTCAGTTCTAGTTCAGTTCTAGTTCAGTTCTAGTTCAGTTCTAGTTCAGTTCTAGTTCAGTTCTAGTTCAGTTCTAGTTCAGTTCTAGTTCAGTTCTAGTTCAGTTCTAGTTCAGTTCTAGTTCAGTTCTAGTTCAGTTCTAGTTCAGTTCTAGTTCAGTTCTAGTTCAGTTCTAGTTCAGTTCTAGTTCAGTTCTAGTTCAGTTCTAGTTCAGTTCTAGTTCAGTTCTAGTTCAGTTCTAGTTTCAGTTCTAGTTCAGTTCTAGTAGTCAGTTCTAGTTCAGTTCTAGTTCAGTTCTAGTTCAGTTCTAGTTCAGTTCTAGTTCAGTTCTAGTTCAGTTCTAGTTCAGTTCTAGTTCAGTTCTAGTTCAGTTCTAGTTCAGTTCTAGTCAGTTCTAGTTCAGTTCTTAGTTCAGTTCTAGTTCAGTTCTAGTTCAGTTCTAGTTCAGTTCATAGTTCAGTTCTAGTTCGTTCTAGTTCAGTTCAGTTCAGTTCTAGTCAGTTCTCGTTAGTCTAGTTAGTTCTAGTTCAGTTCTAGTTCAGTCTCTAGTTCAGTTCTAGTTCAGTTCTAGTTCAGTTCTAGTTCAGTTCTAGTTCAGTTCTAGTTCAGTTTAGTCAGTTCTAGTTCAGTTCTAGTTCAGTTTTAGTTCAGTCAACGGAGCGTTCTACCAAGATTTTCTATTAAAGTCGAATTATAATTTAAATGATCACTGAAAATTCTGTAAAAATCAAATTGTCACCAAAGACTCTAAAAATTTAAATTTTTTACAAAAAAAAAAAAAAAAAAAAAAATCACCGAAAATACAAAATTTCACCAAGAAATCCGAAAAATTACAATTTTCATTAGAATTCTTGAAAGGGAGTACATATTGTGAATTACAAATCCTCGGAATTCTATATACAAAATAAAATATTCAAAATTTAATTTCGGTTCTGAAATCACTAAATTTGTGCATTGGAAAAACACGGGGAGTGTGTTTCTATTAGAAATAAAAGATATAAAAATTATAATCATGGCGAATTACTACAATTTATCCCTCTAAGGTTTAAACAAATATTGAAGATACCTGTTTCACAGTATTGTGCACATTTCTGCTGGCACAACCTTGGTGAAAGTTTATAGGATTTCTGAGATTGTTTCGGATATTTAACACTTAATTTTGAAATAAATGATGACTTTTTTTGCAAGTGTCCTAAGCAAAAGAAATACATTTTGTTAACACTAATTGTTATTAAATTTTTTTAAAGGTTAAAAAGAAGGCAATTTGAAATTAAAACAAAAATGGGTTTTAACTGCATGCATTTGTAACCTTTAAGGAAAAAAAAAAAAATAACTCAACTAAAATTGAGGGACAGACAGATAATCAGAGAAATGAGAAAAAATACTAAATAAAAGACCTGAATATGGACGTGAATCAAACCAATTAAAAATGTGTCAAGTTCATTGCGTTTTTCCCATTTTTTTTTTCGTTCTGAAATAAATGGATGTGTTTTCCTTTTTTCTTTAGATTTTTTCCCTGAATCATTATTGTTGGTTGTAACATTGTAATTGTGTTTGGTCGATTGGGTCAAGTCTATTATGAAAGTGAAAAAATTTTCGATATAATGTAAATGCCAATGGGTGTATGTATGTGTGTGTATGACGGTATGATGGGGGTATGTGTGGGGGTTTGATAAATGAACCAAATATCAAATTATATTCAAAAAGTTGAAAGGATTTGTTTTGTATTTGTAAGGTGTGGGTTCCTTTTTTTTTTATACTGCAAGAACTGAACAGTATTGAATATTGTATGCGTGTTATAAGTATGTTGGTTGTATGTTGGCTTGATGAGTTCCATAAATGATCGATATATGATGGGTTTGTAATGAATATGTGCATTTTAAGCTGTAATATTTTTTATTATTTGCTATTTATACTCTTATTGTTGTGAATTGACGTATTCTATAGTTTGCAATTATGAAAATATAAAAGTAATATATTTATGTATTTGCGTTTATTACTAGAAATGTATTAGTTCTTTTTTTTTTTGGTTGATTTGATTTAATAAGTAACAAAAAGCTATTTTCAATATTATTTAAATACATATGTATAGTAAACGTGATTAAAAACAGAGCAACAAGAAAGCAAAGTAGAAACTATATAAAACCAAATGAATTTGAATTTAAAAATATTGAACATTTTAGAACAGTTTGTTTGGTTTATAAACTAATGGTTTAATTTGATTATTTATGCAATATTTATTATTTATTTGTGTTATTTTTTTTTGTTTGTTTACCGTCAGCGGGTTTTTCGATATGTATACGAATGTTACAATTATTGCCTGCAAGTCCATCGTATTAAATAAATTGTTTGTTTGTATTAAATTGGATTAAAATAGATTGCAGGTTATTATTAAACAATTTTAAAACAAAATTTTTGTATTTCAGAAGAATTTGTTAAAAATATTTTTACAGTTTAAATGAAATAATAATAAAAAATTAAATAAAACAGAAGATTTCATAATAAAATTAACTAAACTAAATTTATTAAAAGTGCAAAGTAAATAGCAAAAAATAAGCTGTAAGTATGTTATAGTTCCTTTAAATCAATATTTTAAACTTTTTAAATTTGCTTTAATTTCTGTTAAAAGCAAATATTATGTTTATGACTGTTGATTTGATTTTACTTATTTTAACTGTTTGTTTGTTGTTAGTTTTTAAACTAGATTAGTAACATTTTTAATGGATTCGTATTGATGCCATACAAAGAAAATGTAATTAAAAGATAGATAGAACAAAGTGAAATAAAAAAAAAGTACAAGGATAAATAACTATTATTGCGTGCAAAGGACATGTGAGCTCATGGCTGTTTTACTGCGAAAACTTTTCAGTTTTATAATATACACATGAACATTTTTAGATTTAGCCGAATGCTATTGAATATTTAGATTTTTACAGATTGATATATATGAAAGTAGAAATTACAAAGTATAAAAATTTTATTAAAAACGTTTTCAATTTAATTAAGCTGAAAGAATTTTAGTATTTGTATTGAAATAACTAGTTCTAGATCGCGTGCAAATAGAAATATTTCAGACTAGATGAAATATTCTAAAGATTATTACATAGACTAATCCATAGACTCATAAAATCAGATAGACTTGGCGATAAACTATTTCATATCAATCGACTAGTGAATAGTCTAGTCAAAAGTCATAAACTAGTGAATAGATAAGACCATATACGGATCCGTACACTAGTTCATAAACTAGTCAATAGACAAGTGAATAGGACTAATCAATAGACTAGTCCATAGCCCAGTTCATAGATTAGTCGACAGACTAACCAATATACTAGTGAATAAGCTCATCCATAGACTAGTCAACGGACTAGTAAATAGACTAATCCATACACTGGCCTAAAGACTAGTCAACAGACCACTCAGACTTGTCAGACTGATTCATATAATAGTCGTTAACCTATTTCATAGACTATTCACTAGACTTATCCATGAACTAATCCATAGACTCGTCCATTGACTAGCCAATATTCTAGTGAATAGACTAGTGCATAGATGGATCCGTTGACTAGTTTAAGATTATTCAATAGTCTAGTCCATTGCCTAGTCTATAGTCCATAGGTTAGTCGATAGACTAGCCATAGACATAGACTCATAAGACTAGTCAACAGACCACTCAATAAACTAATCAGTAGACTGCATCATTTACTAGTACACAGACTAGTAAATATAATAGTCAATAGACTAGTAAATGTTGTTCATAGACTACTCCATAGATTAGTCAATAGACTTGTTAATAGACTATCCATAGAACAGGTAATATACTAGTCAATGGATCAATGGATTAGTCAATATACTAGTAAATAGAATAGTCATTAAACTAGTCAATAGATAGGTCCACAGATTAGTCAATAGACTGTCCATATAACAAGTAATAGATAGTTCCATAGACCAGTTAATAGACTAGTCAGTCCACAAATCAATAGAATAGTCAATAGACTTGTTCATATACTAGTTCAAATACTGATCCATATACTAGAACAAAAGCTAGTCCGTAGACTAGTCAGTCGACTTTTCCATAACTAACTGCAACAAAAATTAGTTAATAGACTAGTCAAAATAGGTAAGTATTAGTCGATAAATCAGTTAATAGACTATTTCAAAGAGAGAAGAGCTTATAATTTGCTTAATCTGAATAGCTCACAAATGCTCTAAAAACTAACATAAATAACTAGCAATTTTGAAAAAATGTTTTAAAGATTTATAAAGAAAATTTTCACTAAAACACAAACAGCTAAAATTATAATAAAATATTTAAGATTTTTCTAGTTTAGAGATAGATTACTTAACAAAAAAAAAAGTTTTAAAGCTTTTAAGCGGAAATGATTTAAAATCAAATAATAATCTACTTATAATAAAATGGTTTGGATGAATATATAATTTTGAAAGATTTTTAAAATCAAAATCTTAACAAAAACTTACCAATACTAGTATCGTAAGCATGTAAATATTCAGAGGTCATAAACTGAGAGACCAAAGAACTTTTACCCACAGCGGTAGCGCCCAGCATAAGGACTCTAAAATGAAATACGAAAAAGAAAACATAAATTTAATATTAACAAAAAATATAAATGCTTCAGATATTATTTGTTATATGAAGAAGTCATAATTACCTGTAAGGACCACTGCCTGGATTTGAAGTACTGCTTTCACGACTTGAAGCTAAACTGCAAGTGGCTGAGTTACGAGCAGAGTGGACTTGGGTAGGTTGTAATTGGGTAGTTAAATGTTCATTGCTATTGATGGAATAAATAAATAATATCAAATTTATGGTTTATATTAAATAAGAGTTCGTTAAAATTAAGGACCTTGAGATAAAATGAATTGCTTACCTTGAATTTGAACTTGCCACACTGTTATTTGATTTACTGCGTCTACTTTTTAAGGAATCACCACGATTTATCACTCCCTTGCCGGTTATGGAGAAATGTCTTAATCTATAATACTCTTCTTCCACACCAGTATTAGGCATAGAGGCCACTCTGTTTATTAACAAAAATAAAATAAAAAGAAATGTTTGATTAAAAACAACAAACTTATTTCAACAATAAAACCATTACCTTGATCTTTGCTGTGGCAAACACAATTGATTGGGACGACCCGATGCTCTGCTACCCGGTGTTTTAACTGACTGCGAACGACTGTGATGTGGTGAACCATAACTATAAAAATTTAGTTTTGTTTTCTCTATTATTTAGAGTTCATTTGAACTTTATATTTATCAGTTAGCACTTACCGCATTTCAAAATCTCTTAATTCCTCAAATGTCAAAGTATTTGTTACATCCAATAATTGTCGCATATTTTCATCACGTTTTTGTTGCTGCTGCTGTTGATAACTTTGATGTTGAGTTCCTGCTGTATTGGGTGCTTGATGGAATTGCTGCGAATGACGTTTACGTGCAGATAATGTTATTATATTCTGTGGATCCTTGTCCTGTTCAACACTTATGAAATCATTTTCATTTTTAATTAACAATGTTTCAATGGTATTATCTAAACTAAGGGACGGCTGAAATGGCAAATGGATACAAATCATTTATAAAATGCAATAAAAAAGGATACAGAAAAATATGTTAATGTAAGATTACTTTTAAATTTATATAAGAAGAGAGTTTATATAGACTAGGCTATTATGTAGACTTTAGAAAAGATTATAGAATAGGCTATAGACTAGACTATAGACTACGTTACAGACTATAGACTAGACTATAGACAAGACTGTAGACAAGACTGTAGACTGGACTATAGACTAGAATATAGACTAGACTACAGACTAGACTATAGACTAGACTATAGACTACGTTACAGACTATATACTAGGCTATAGACTAGACTATAGACTAGACTATAGACTAGACTATAGACTAGTCTATAGACTAGACTATAGAGACTATAGACTAGACTATAGACTAGACTATAGACTAGACTATAGACTAGACTATAGACTAGACTATAGACTAGACTACTATATACTAGACTATAGACTAGACTATAGACTAGACTATAGACTAGACTATAGACTAGACTATAGACTAGACTATAGACTAGACTATAGACTAGACTATAGACTAGACTATAGACTAGACTATAGACTAGACTATAGACTAGACTATAGACTAGACTATAGACTAGACTATAGACTAGACTATAGACTAGACTATAGACTAGACTATAGACTAGACTATAGACTAGACTATAGACTAGACTATAGACTAGACTATAGACTAGACTATAGACTAGATACTAGACTATAGACTAGACTATAGACTAGACTATAGACTAGACTATAGACTAGACTATAGACTAGACTATAGACTAGACTATAGACTAGACTATAGACTAGACTATAGACTAGACTATAGACTAGACTATAGACTAGACTATAGACTAGACTATAGACTAGACTATAGACTAGACTATAGACTAGACTATAGACTAGACTATAGACTAGACTATAGACTAGACTATAGACTAGACTATAGACTAGACTATAGACTAGACTATAGACTAGACTATAGACTAGACTATAGACTAGACTATAGACTAGACTATAGACTAGACTATAGACTAGACTATAGACTAGACTAGACTAGACTATAGACTAGACTATAGACTAGACTATAGACTAGACTATAGACTAGACTATAGACTAGACTATAGACTAGACTATAGACTAGACATACTAGACTATAGACTAGACTATAGACTAGACTATAGACTAGACTATAGACTAGACTATAGACTAGACTATAGATTAGACTACAGACTAGACTATAGACTAGACTACAGACTAGACTACAGACTAGACTATAGACTAGACTATAGACTAGACTATAGACTAGACTATAGACTAGACTATAGACTAGACTATAGACTAGACTATAGACTAGACTATAGACTAGACTATAGACTAGACTATAGACTAGACTATAGACTAGACTATAGACTAGACTATAGACTAGACTATAGACTAGACTATAGACTAGACTATAGACTAGACTATAGACTAGACTATAGACTAGACTATAGACTAGACTATAGACTAGACTATAGACTAGACTATAGACTAGACTATAGACTAGACTATAGACTAGACTATAGACTAGACTATAGACTAGACTATAGACTAGACTATAGACTAGACTATAGACTAGACTATAGACTAGACTATAGTCTAGTCTATAGACTAGACTATAGACTAGACTAATAATATCAATAATATAATATCAAACAAATATACAAGTTATAAGAAAAATTCAAAATATTGAAATTTGTATAATAGACTTTTGTTTGAAAAATTCGTCGTAGTCGAATATTGTGTAGGAAAAGAGTCAAATATGTAATTGATTTTGTAAATAAATGTCGTAAAGTTGATAATAAAAGAAGTTCGAAAAGCCGACAATTTCAAACTTAAAAAAATCCAAAAGCCATTTTTTCATACATTGAAAAAAGTCACAATGTCGACTTTTCACAAATTGCAAAAAGTCGACTTTTTTATTTCAACTATAAATAGAATCCTAGTTAAAGCATGCATTCTAGAAATTATGGTGAAACGAGTTCAATTTCTCCTGAACACTTTCTTTTATAAATTTTCGTTAAACATTTTATAAGATTTTCAAATTAAAATTTATTAAAATGTCATAATAATTAATAATTTGACTCATGTATAACATGACATTTAACAGATAATTTAAAGCCTTATTAAATATGAAAATATTAAAAAAATATGAATGACAGTTTGAAGTATGTAATTTAAATTACTGTAATGTACGAAACCATAAAAACAAATAAAAATTTACTGTCAAAATATAACGAAACTGTCAAAATTAGTAACACAATTTTGAAACATATAGGCTGAAGTTTTTTAAGTTATGTCCGAAAATTTAAATTAGAATTGAAGTTGGTTGGAAGCTTTAAGAGTTTGTTATTATAAAAATAAACTTACCCTAATACCCTTTTTTGAAAATCTTCTACAAATCCGTTTATATAAAGGATCCATAATTTTGAATTTAATTCAAATATTTGTGTTATTATAGTTTTCAATGCGAAGCACTAAATTTCTCTTTTTAATATTTGTTTATTACACTTTAATGTTTAAGCGTTTTGCCACTTAAATAAATAATAGTTGTTTTGTTTATATATTTATTATTATAAATTTTGTTAATTACACATATATTGTTTGGTTTTATTGTTTTCAAAGCGCTCAGAGTCCATTAATTTAAAAAAAAAAGTGTTTTTAAATAAAACAAACGTAAAAGAAAATCTTTCTTTTACTATATATTTTTTTTATCAATTTTAATTATAATATTGTTTTCAATTTTTTTAATTTTCAATTTTATATTGTGCACTGAAAGGCGTATCGTAAACAAATAATAAGTGATCTTAACAATACAATGGTTTTTATAAACTAAATCAGACAAGAAAATCTCAAGAAGAAGAAAAAGAAAATTGTGTGAAAACTGTTCACACGTAGAGATGCGAAGAGATTTTCTTAGCGGCTTGACAAGACAAGAGACATACACCACAACTCACGCTGGAGAGAAAGAAAATTCTGAAAACAAAAAATTTAACATACAATATTTTTTCGTGGAAAACATGAGATGTTCACCAAAAATAATCTCTATGTTTGCGAAATGTACAGAAATTATTATGAAGGGGCATTTTGTAGAAACATTTAAAACGAGATCACGTCAATTGTTTATTTGCACCTGTTATTATAAAGGGGCCCAGCAGGAGGCCGGGGATTTATGAATGTAAATAAAAAGAAAAAAAGTATTTGATCATATAGCGATCGCGTTGAATTTAAGTGTATAGTATTGTGTTTTGGGCATTGAACTAAACGTAATTGAATATCAAAAATATATTTAATATTTTGATCTTAAAAATCAATGTTGACTTTGACATAGAAATCATAGATATTGAAACGTTTAAAAGTGTATGTGGTCGACTTCATGTTACACTAACATTCATATTATATTTTCTAATGTCAACACCATTTTCAGTATAAATATAAATTTTTGGAAATGGTGTAGTAATCATTTTCAAAGAAAAATTATTTTTTATGAAAATGTTAAAATTATTCTAAATAATTTAGATAGAAAAATAATGTGACCCCATTTTACATAGTTCTGGTCTTGGATAAAGATGATTCAGAGAAGTTTAAACAATTTTTATTAGAAACACATAGAAATTGAAAAAAATTAAATTAATATTTGCATCTTATCTTTGATCTGTCATATAATTACAAAAATTTAAATATTCGTCACTGGCTATTAGCTATTACCAACTCTAGGGTCTATAGTTTAGTCTAAAGACTATAATCTAGTGTATTCTATAGTTTAATCTATAGTATAGTCTATAGTCTAGTCTATAGTGTAGTCTATAGTCTAGTCTATAGTCTAGTCTATAGTCTAGTCTATAGTCTAGTCTATAGTCTAGTCTATAGTCTAGTCTATAGTCTAGTCTATAGTCTAGTCTATAGTCTAGTCTATAGTCTAGTCTATAGTCTAGTCTATAGTCTAGTCTATAGTCTAGTCTATAGTCTAGTCTATAGTCTAGTCTATAGTCTAGTCTATAGTCTAGTCTATAGTCTAGTCTATAGTCTAGTCTATAGTCTAGTCTATAGTCTAGTCTATAGTCTAGTCTATAGTCTAGTCTATAGTCTAGTCTATAATCTAGTCTATAGTCTAGTCTATAGTCTAGTCTATAGTCTAGTCTATAGTCTAGTCTATAGTCTAGTCTATAGTCTAGTCTATAGTCTAGTCTATAGTCTAGTCTATAGTCTAGTCTATAGTCTAGTCTATAGTCTAGTCTATAGTCTAGTCTATAGTCTAGTCTATAGTCTAGTCTATAGTCTAGTCTATAGTCTAGTCTATAGTCTAGTCTATAGTCTAGTCTATAGTCTAGTCTATAGTCTAGTCTATAGTCTAGTCTATAGTCTAGTCTATAGTCTAGTCTATAGTCTAGTCTATAGTCTAGTCTATAGTCTAGTCTATAGTCTAGTCTATAGTCTAGTCTATAGTCTAGTCTATAGTCTAGTCTATAGTCTAGTCTATAGTCTAGTCTATAGTCTAGTCTATAGTCTAGTCTATAGTCTAGTCTATAGTCTAGTCTATAGTCTAGTCTATAGTCTAGTCTATAGTCTAGTCTATAGTCTAGTCTATAGTCTAGTCTATAGTCTAGTCTATAGTCTAGTCTATAGTCTAGTCTATAGTCTAGTCTATAGTCTAGTCTATAGTCTAGTCTATAGTCTAGTCTATAGTCTAGTCTATAGTCTAGTCTATAGTCTAGTCTATAGTCTAGTCTATAGTCTAGTCTATAGTCTAGTCTATAGTCTAGTCTATAGTCTAGTCTATAGTCTAGTCTATAGTCTAGTCTATAGTCTAGTCTATAGTCTAGTCTATAGTCTAGTCTATAGTCTAGTCTATAGTCTAGTCTATAGTCTAGTCTATAGTCTAGTCTATAGTCTAGTCTATAGTCTAGTCTATAGTCTAGTCTATAGTCTAGTCTATAGTCTAGTCTAGACTAGTCTATAGTCTAGTCGAGTATAGTCTAGTGAATAGTATAACGTTTAGTATACAGTCTGTTGATATTAATATTTTAATATCGGAAATTATGAGGATTGTTTATTAAAGCTGGTATACAGGGCAACCATCTAAAATAAAGGCCATTTGATAATTTAATCTTATATACCCATATTTAGGAAGTAGGGTATCAACAAGTAAAATGATTTGGTTGAAAGTTAAATTTTAAATATTGCACATACAAATATACAAATCTTTATGGTTATCTCCCGGAAAAAGGTAAAATACTGCAGATGACCATTAACGAAACAACAACAACAAGAACAATAAACACTAACATTAACATTTTACATTAAAAACAAAAACAATCAAATGCAGAAATAAGTCAAGAGATGAGCAAAATTGACAAGTGAATACATATTCAACCACTGACATTAATTGACAAGCAAATTAAAAGAGGAAATAAACAAACAAATTTGTTGATAAACTCATCAGAATCCTTTTTATTAAATTGTAAGCAGTAAATATTTATGTGAATACATATGTATGTATGTAACATTGGGAGAAATTATTTAATGCATTTTTATTTATAAATTTAAATTTTTTGTTATAAATTTTCATTAAAATGTTTGTTTGTTTAATGCTTTATAAAATTTTTAATTTTGCCTTAAAATCTAGGAAGTGTGGCAGTGACATTTTGCTTTGAATTGTCATGTTATGCCTCTTTTTATTCAAAATTGTTGACTCATGTTCAAAATAAAAAAGGCGAATATTATATCATATTTAAGTATAAAAAAAAATTATTCATATATTTCGTTGTTTTTGTGATTCTTGGCAAATTTTTTTTTTAAATGATAATGTATGATGTATTAAGGTGAAAAAAATCAATACTGATTTTTTAGCATTTTTATTGCCAAGATTTGTATAAATTTAGATAATAGGCGTATTGCTTTGGAAATATTACATTTAATTATGATTATAGTCATTATTTAAAATTAAATTTTAAATTTCGATATTATATTATAGAGCAAATTTATCATGATAGGTTGAGACATTAGTTAAATCGGGAAACTCTGTATTTTTTTAACCCATTTGCAAACATATTTCTTTATCGAGTAAAATGTCTTTAAACATATTTTATAATGAGGATCGGTAATTTGCGTTTATATTTTTTTTTAATCCAATCAAAATCGTATTTATCAAAATTTAATAATTTTGTATGAGGCTGGTGGTGTCAGTGCCCTCTTAAATCATCCAAATCTTATTTTGCACACTTATGCATTAAGTTCCCTTTTGGATCGTATAAAGTTTGTATATAGTGCCGAAGAAATTGTTTTTGTATTAAAGAAAAAAATATATTGGTACCTTTTTGGAAAAACGCTCTCAAAAATACGACCCTTCTTAAATGCGTCTAAGTTCCCTTTTGGATCGTATAAAGTTTGTATATAGTCCCTAAGAAATTGTTTTTGTATAAAAGAAAAAAAATATTGGGACCTTTATGGAAAAACACTCTCAAAAATAAGACCCTTCTTAAATGAGTCTAACTTTTTATAGCGACCGAGAACTTTGAGGGGTAACCCAATGACCCCTTTCCTCATACAATCACCTGCAAGAGGCATACGACCACCTACAACCGTTAATCATCTTGAAAACACCTCAATCCCGATCAAGTAATATTCCGTAACGATTTCAATAGTTAGAAAAAATACTTCTAAACCACTGCGCAGTGGTTCCATGTGATAAATATTAAAATTTAAACGGTTCATTTCTTTGCAAATTTCCCTTCGATATACAATTCCGGTGATAAAGGTTTTATAAATAAACAAAAAAACATAATTATTTATATTTACGTTGATATTTCGGGGAAACGAAATTGCACCTCTGAAAACAATAAGTTTATTGTTCTAGTAACCCCTTCCTGGGGTCGAATGTAGTGCATTTCCCTACAGCAATATGCGTGAGGCCATCTACTCGCCCACGTAATTTACAATCAATTAAAGTCATTTCAATTCAAATGTGTTTTTTGTCTGTTTATTGTTGTCTTTTAGGTGTAAATATTAATGATCTTTAATTGACTCACTTTTGTTAACGTTTTAAAAGCCCTGCTTTTTTCTTAATAAATAGAGCGAATTAATCTGATGATGATGATGCCAGAGATATTTATTATATTTAAACATTAATAAATTCTTCCGTATAATGACTTTACAGTTTCCACTGCATTAAAAAGTGTAATTGAGAGAGTTAAACTTACTTGTTGGACGACAATTGTTGCTCTCGGTTGCGTACAGACAGCGGCTACCTCCATTGGATTGGCTGTTACGTTAATAGGGCCACCTGAATTAATGACAACATTAGCCGCTGCTGAAACATTGCTACTACCTACTACATATTGGCAGTCACCCAAAAAGTCGTGTGCTGTATTTGCTGTTGTGATCGTATCCACTTCCTCGATGGCTGAGGCTGTTTTTGGTTTATTTTTAAATGATTTTTTGCGCGATTGCGTTGACTTTTCCATGAAAAAGTCAACGCGTAGATTGGGCAGCGGTGGTGTGGTGCTACGTGAGTTACTAGGACTACTAGCATTTGATGATATGCTCTCAATATTGTTG